TTCGACGAGCAATATCCAGTATCTTGGTAAGAGAACTTTCAACATCAACAAGTTCTAGAGCTCTTCGACGGAGACGTGTAGATGTGCATGTTTCAATTATTTGATGTTTGATTTCTTTGTCAACATCAGCAAACTCACTATGGGCTGCTAAACCCTGCAGACGTGTGTGGCTCTCCTGAAATGCATAATTTCCATTGCAGTATTTTGCCTTGGTTTGAAATGTTCAGTTAATTTGGCTTTGGCAGTGTCATAATCTTTGGCACTACCAGTGTCTTTCGGTGTGTCAAAGATGTCACAAACTCGATCACCTGCATAATGAGGTAGAAAGGCACGCTTTCTTTCAGCACTTTTGATGTCAGAAACTATCAACAAATTTTCAAACCTTTTAAGCCATTTGGTCCACCTCTGTGACAGGTTTGTCTGGTCACAGTCAGGATGAAATGCAGGAAACTGAGGTATATTTGCCATTTTTTTCTGTATAAAAGTAAACTTATCACTTAAAATGTTCCTCAGAATACTGAACACTTACTGCACTGTATATGTTAGTCAAGAATTCACTGTAATTACTTTAATTTTGCAAAGCACACAAGCATTTTAATGCAAAAGTTCACAGCAGTGCACAATACACCAGCAACTGATGTCTTACCTAGCCCTTGTGTACATGTGTTGTTCCTACTCACAGCAGCACAGCAGTTGTCAGCAGTTGGCACAGCAGTTGTTAGCAGTTGGTACAGCAGTTGGCAGCAGTTGGTACAGCAGTTGGCAGCAGTTGGTACAGCAGTTGGTACAGCAGTTGTCAGCAGTTGGTACAGCAGTTGTCAGCAGTTGACACAGCAGTCAGTTCACAGCGTGAAGAATTGTAGCACGGAGCGTGTTTCGTACACAAAACATCAGGTTTTGTATACAGCATCAAAGCGTCGTTTCGTACACAGCGTCGGCAGATTCCTCAGTACTCAGCTTCAGTCAGCACAGCTTGGGTAGCACATAGCATTGGTTAGCACACAGCATCGGTTAACACACAGCATTGGTTAGCACGCAGCATCGGGTATGGTGCTCACAGACAGCACGACTTCCCTCCTCCGGGGGCGAGACAGCATGTTCTCCTTGTGTTTTAAGTTGAACAAATACCTGCGTTCACAGTTCATCCTCGTCACCAATGTGGTGTTTGTGTGTTGCTGAGGAAGTCTTGGTTGTAGGGTTGATATAAAGCCATTGCTTGGTTACTGACTTTAATACTTATAAAAGATCACATGACTAGTAGCTACCAAGCTTGGCGGGCGTCCTGTACGCTCTTGTTTACCTCTCTTGGCGTCTGAGCCACCGCACATAGAAAACGGATGGTACCGTTTTCTGTGAACATGACAATAGTTAAACAGGATATTACAATGTATTTATTCACAAATTATTACCTGTCAACCACAAGCTTTGACCAACTTTGTGCACACATTAAAAGTACAAGCTTTGACCAGCATAAAGCAAAAAATACCTTTGACCAGCAATTATTTATCAACCTATAAAAATCAGAAAGCTTTTACCAACTTGAAAATAACTTAATTGCTTTGACCAGCTATTAGAAATGTTGACAATTAACCTACGAATAAATATTTACATTTATAACAAACAGCAATAAATCCACTTTTTTTTAATAGAAAGTGCCATATCACTAGTAGGTTTACAGTGTTTCCCTCACTACAACCTGCTTGGGGATGTGGGTGGTTGTTCTGATTTCACTATTATAACAAAACTTGGAATATTAATATCATTGTTAAAGGGACAGGAAAACATATTAACTTATGACAGTGCTTGGCAACAATCTCTGGTTGTTAACACTCACAAAATAGTAAACAGTTGGCCTCAGGTGTCTGGCAACTACCCCTGGAGCTACTGGGAGGGGTCGCATCTTTGTCATGCACGCAGCAGTTTCTCTCCATTCCTATCATTTGTCTTTCTCTAGCTCCTTTTATGAACAATCCAATGCAAGCTAATTTCTCCCTAACAACATGATCTAGACGGCATGCCATTAGGTCGCAATTTCTTTTTTGTCTTAGGTATAAAAATGTGCTACCGTCTTGTGTCTGCTCTTATGCCGTTACCTTCTAAGTCAGCAATTAGGAGTCTCACCTGAGCTGCCGTGCGGTGTGGACGTGTCGTTTGCCCGCTCCGGCAGTTTTGGTGTAGTTGCCATTTTCGCCGGCAGGGGGTGTGGGTGTCTCTACCCTCCCTGCTGTTCCTAGTGGTGGGGACTTGGCGTGTTTGCGATGGGCAGCCATATTCCAGCTGTCGTGAGAGTAAACTCCATAGGTTTGGCGTTTACTGGCCGTGCTGGTTACCCGCTGGTGGACTTGGTCTTGAGTGACATGCTCAGAGTCCCGGTCCAGGACGTATATGGTGTCGAACTGGTCACTGCTCGCCGTGTCTTCATCAAGTTTGTGGGTGAGGCAGTGTACCGTGGTTTTCTCCGGAGGTACGAGGGGCGTACTTTGCAGCTGCAGGACGGCACCGGGTCTGTGACCATTTCGGACCGTTGTGGTGCTGTGACATATGTAAGTGTCCATGGCGCCTCCATGGAGTTTCCTGAGGATCTCCTCCGGTGTTTCTTCCAGAGATATGGCTCCGTCGTCAGTGTGTGGATGAACTCGCTATCGTCTGGCACGTATTCGGGTGTGAAGACCAACATTCGGACCCTCGGGATACGACTGAGTTCGGACATTCCGTCATCTGTCCAGCTGTTTGGGTACTACGTGCGGGTGTTTTATGCCCGACAACCCCGTACTTGTTTCCAGTGTGGCTTGTTGGGGCATCAGGCTGCCAGGTGTACTGCTGATCCGGTCGCTCCCGTGAATCTGTTCCATGAAGAAGATTTCCCGCCGCTCCCTCTGGAGGAGGACTCCGGGGGGTGAGGAGGTGAGCGTCCCGTTCGCTGCTGAGGATCCCCCAGTGTCGCCCGTTGTTCCCCCGGTTGTCGCCGGCCCTCCTTCGGCTGTTGCTGTGCCGTTGGATGTGTCTCCTGCTCCTGTCTCTGGCCCTGCTGCTTCCGTGGGTCTTCCTGGTACTCCCTGTGGGGCGTCGTCATCTGCTTTCTCATCTTCAGCTGCTGGACCTGGCCCTGCATCCTTGCCTCGCGTCCCTACTGTGCTGGGTGCTGGGGTGGCTGCGGAGCCAACTGCTGTGTGTGGTCCGGTTCCCCCTGTGGTAGAGGCTGCTGCCGTTCTGTGTCGGGCGTCGGTTCGTCCTGCTAGTGGTGCCCGTGTTTCTGGGTACGCTTCCGGCTCTGACGATATCCAGCCGGAGCCCAAGCGTTCCAGGCGTTCGTCTACTGCCTGGGCCGATGTTGGGGACTTCAGTGACTGTGGGTTTTCAGGTGTTGACTGCATGGATCCGAATGCGTCATTGTCTCCGTGGGTGGTGGTGGCGGAGGTTCCTGTGCCTGCTGGTGCTGATCCCCATGTCTCGGGTGTGCCTTCTGTTCATTTCTCGCCAGGGGGCTCTCCGCAGTGGGGTGTGGTGGCTTTCGCTGCCAGGGATGGTGCGGATGCTGGTGCTGGGCGTGGCCTGGTAGTGACTTTACGAAAGGATGCGCGCCGCCCTGGTTCCCTGCAGTCGTCTGGTGGTGTGCCTGTGGCCGCTGGTGCCCCTGTGGTGGTGCCCTCTGAACGGCTCTCTCCTGAGGGGTTGCGACTTGAGGCTCTAAAGGTCGTGGTTGCCGAGATCCTGCTGTCTGAAAGACCAGAGAGCTGTCTTGATGGGCGGGTTCCCAGTATATAGAGTAGGGTGGCGGTAACTCGCCTCCGGAGTGACACCGTCTGGGTTCCCTGTTTGCAGGTGTTTGTTGCCGGGGTTCCGGATACCATGGCGTCCCCAGTGGACGGTCAAGACTCTTGGGGGAGGTGGGTGCTTTGGGAGGCGTTCCATGCGCGGTTCCCCCGGGCCTTGTTCCCGGGCAAATATGTCAGCTGATTTCATGTTCCTGTAGTGTTGTGTGCCCCTATGGCCTTTTGTTTGCCCTATTGTATTCTGTGCACGTGCCGCTCCCTTCTTTGTTGCGAGGCCGGAGTTTTGGTGAGGGCGTTTTTATTCATGTATTTACTTTTGTGTTATTATTTTGCCATGTGTGTTCTATTTATGCATTGCTAGACTGTGTTGTGCGATTTCCTTGTTCTATTTCATGATGTCCTTTATCATGTGTTTTGTTCTCGGTCCTTCAGGCCAGTGCTTGTTTGTTGTTGTGTGTGTTCCTATGTTTTGTTTTCTATATTGCATGGATTGTTTGTTTCTTATTATTGTATATTTTGGCCTCTCCCTTTGTTTGTTGCGAGGCGGTTGGTTTGGTGTGTGTGTTTTTATTCATGTCTTGTTTCTGTGACTGTACCTTGCACTGGTGTCTTATTATTGCATTACATGTTGTGCTTGTTTGTTATTTTTGTTTTGTTTGTTGTTTATTGTGCTTTTCTTGTTATGTTTCATGTTATACTTCTTGATGTTTGTTTTGTTGTATACTGTTATGTTTTATAATGTTACTGTGCTTGCTTGTTTTGACATTGTTTTCTCTTTTGATGTTTGCTCCTGCATGTCTCGTGTTTGTACTTTGTTGGCCTGTGCTGTCGGCCCTTCTGGCTGGTGGTTTATTTTGTTTTGTTTATGTTTTCTAATGTACTTTTTATTGTTTTTATTGTATTTATATTGCATGTGTTACATGTAAAAAAAAAAAAGTCAGCAGTTAAACAGCGCCAGAGCTGGTTCACACAGTACAATTTTGTTTACTTAAACATAGGTGACATCCATCATGCTTTCTTTGTCTGTCTGTCTCCTTCTCTGTCTGAAACGGATATCTGACATAAATTGGTGAAAATGCTAGTGTTACACGCTCACATGGTGACATTAAGTTAGTCTGGCTGGACGTATGGGCACTAGGTCTCTCTCTGTATGTCCTTAACTATGTCTCTTTCTCTTTAATATAATTACTCCTATGGAGAGTTATAAAATCTGATGTTGATTTACAGAGAGTGGGGCTCCGCAGAAACTGTCAAGGATGTTGTGGACTCTGGACAAGGTGGTTCGGGTGGAGTTCTGGGGAGGAGTGAGCGCCCTACTGGCCACTGTGCTCAGTGCTCTGGGCATAGTGTCCTGCCTCCTGGCCTTCACTACACTCTGGCTCATCACTGCTGCCGTCTACCTGTACACAGCTGACATGAAGGTCAGTTTCTCCTCCTTATGTCAGAAACTTTAACTAACATACAATTATTCAAATATAATGATGCTTTTAGGATATTTTCTTAAAGGATGAATAAAATAAATGTTTCTGTAAGAAAAATTCTTCCTATATAAAAACTATGCTTCAGGCAATCCAAGCAATTGATTTTCCCTTGGTGTAACGTTAATTCCTCTACTCAATTAACTCTCACTGAATCCACTGACTTCGATGAAACTCGAATTTATACCAAGCACTCGTCTCACTGACGAGCTCACCCACAACACGTAAATCACAACACCCAGTAATTTAATAAAACACCATTGAATCACTGCCCAAACAATTACAGCCCACTGCAATGACAATTACTGAAAAAACACAGTAATAACACACTCGGCTTCGTGACAATGTAATTTATATATCGTACCCACTGACCTCACCTGTAGCTCTCTGCTATTAAACGCTATATGTGGAACACTCAGGAGATAATGACCCTCCTAATCAACTTGAGCTAGTGATTAGCAATCCCACGGATCGATAATTACTCTCATGAATTTACGCTACCCAACAGAGCTGTCACAATCGACAGCGGCGTCAATCGTTCTTCACCACACGTCCACCAAGTTACAGTATACCTGGCAGTCACGTATATTTATAAATTACACTTGTCACAGCCCAGGAACACACAATACACTTGTATATAAACTCACACTGGTAACACTTCACAATATCCTATGCAAGAAAAGTTTTGTAAAAGTTTGTTACACTACGACAATATGATGACCGGAACTGGACTTTTGAAATGAACTTCACATGTGGACACGGGGAAATGGCATACACATTTACATACATAGAAATGTAATCAACACATAACCCCACACCAGTATGGAGTATAATACACTTGGGCGACCCACACCTGTCCGACTTTAATAGCAAGCTGAATATGTTTCTCCCGTGTGACCAAACACACATCAAGTCTGCACACATACACTCAGTTCCAGCCTTCACTTGACTGACAAGACGTTTAATTAGGTGTATCTCGCGCAAACCACACTTCCCGTTCACCTGCCACCAATTCAACACAAAGGTGCTCACTCAATTAACCAGACCCACATAAACAAGCATCCTGCCACATGTACACATGAAGCCGAAGCATTGTAGTCTCGAAGAGCAGCGGCGTCCACCTTCCCAAGATGACGCAGCTTGGGCTAGGAGTGGCCTGGGGGTGTAGTATATCATGGCTCAGAACAGTCCGTACGTGCCCTTACGTGCTGGCTCCGTCCCTCCCTCAAGGCAAAGCAGCGTGCTTTCACGAAATGGCGGCAAACACGGCGAACGACAATGTCCAACACTTGGACCAAAATTTCCACGAATCTCTGCTGGAAAACTCCTGTTAACACTACTGAGTTTTCCCAGATATCTTCACTGCAAAGTGAATTAAGCAAGAGAACAGATGATGACCTATGTTATGAGTAAACACAGATGCTCCAAATTGGTTCCTTTGCCTCGGTTTCGCCAGTCCCACGCTTACTCTACCGGTCCCATATGTACCCCTGATTAACTCAATCAAGCATACACGACAAGTTCCCGGATTCTGCTACATTCCCTGTGGACACATGTCGATGTTTCGAGACGATAAGGAGCACTTCGATGATATTGCCGACGGGACCCTCTACTTAGTTGGCCGACTAAGTAAAGATTACGTCAATCTCGGGCAATAACTAGATGCAGAATGGCGTCTTGGGCCCAGGGTGGGAAGGAGACCAGTATAATGTGAGTACTCATAATTATGTTTGGTGCTAAGCAACTGTTCTGATGTGAAATCAGGTACAGCTGTTGATGTCCCAAGCGCCTGCTAGGTGAGGGAAGCCAGTTGCGTGAGGCACGCTGTTAATGACGTTAATTATTAATCTATGGGGAGGGCAAGACTGAGGACGTGAGTGTGAATGTATTACACCATAGGAACACATTTATAGCAGGAAGACGATTGATAAAGATTAAGCCACCCAAAAGGTGGCACGGGCATGAATACCCCATAATATAGCAGGAAGCTGCAAAGTCAGTGCAGGTTGCTGCAGGACTATTATGTGTAGAGCTGTCAGTTTAGTGTAGACCAGTCTGTGTGGATATTTTCCATATATATGTTTATTTTTATCTGATGATTCAATATATATCGTTCAGGGTCAAGAACTATGCCATGTATATATGTATCTTATTTAATATGTATATATTATCATCATTTGTACTTTAACCACTCGACCATCACGACCGTTCAAAAGATGATGGTAGCCATCATCTTTTGAACGGTCGTGATGATCGAATAGTTAAGGTGTCCTGTACACCAGTTCCATAGTGCTCCTGGCAGTATTGGTTTCAGTCACTTCTGGGGAGTGAGTTTTCGGTTGCATATATGCCTGGGGACCATTCAGGCTGGTTCACATTATATTCATTTCCATACGCATGCCCAGGTTTGTATTCCCAATTCCCGGGAATACAAACCTGGGTATGTGTATGGAAATGTCAAGAACCACAAACCTGGAAACCCACTTTGGCCAATCATCAGCCAGATACCCACACCTACATTCAGACTGGCTAAGCGACTCAACGGCTTGCTGACTTCCTATGTACCCTGTGCTTTCAGCCTGAAGTCTCCAAAGGAATTTGTTGACTTACTGCAGGGAACACGGGCCACAGGGATAAGAGCCTCATTGGATGTAGAATCACTGTGTATCGTGATCCGGCTTGTACTCCTCTTGACATACCATAAAACATACTTAGGAAACTACTCCAACGAAACCGTTAGAGAAGCTGTTGTTGACTAGTACCTGCCTCACCCTACAGAGTTCTTCGGCAACGGCTTTTCTAGCAGTTTCGTTGAAGACATCATAAAAAGAAAAGTGAAACGCCATGCAACCTCTGAAGAGTCAACCAACACAACACTTGTACCCCCTGTTAGACTATTTTCCAGGAACTTCTTTTCGACGGCTCATAAAACGGAGGAAAAGGTTCTGAAAGATATTGTTGATAGAAACGTTATCCCTACAGACAAAATTCAGAAAATACAATTGCTAATTTATTATAAAGCCAAAAAAGGCCAATCTACTCATGAAAAACTCCCCAGACACCAAGCAAAACGCTTTGAACGAAACCAACGTCGTCTATGCCTTTAAATGCCCACCTGGGGACTGTAAGCCCCAAAGAATCAGTATATAGACAAGACAATAATGTCTCTTTCCAGGCACCATAACAGTGCATAAACAACAGGGCTCTATCAAGGAACATCAAGGAACAGGCAAGCACAGCAAAGAAAACAATAAAACATAGTAACATTATAAAGCATTTAGCAAGAAAAAACAAAACAAGACAATCACACCGGCTGGAAGGACCGACAACAACGCACAACATTATGAACAACATGTAAATACACAAAAAAATCACAATATATAACAAACAAACACAACACATTCAGCAGGAATATAACACATAGGGCAAAGAAATATCACAATAAATGAATACACGAAGAAAAACTCACACCAAACTACCTGCTACGCCCCAAAAAAGGGGGAGGCACGGGCACAAACTACACAAGGGCAAACAAGCAGCCATAAGGGCACACAGGACAAGAGGAAACACAGAAGTCAGGAAATCAAGAGACATACTTGTCCGGAAATAAATACCTAGGGAACCGGACATGAAACGCCTCCCAGAGCAACCACCGCCAAGGGTCGAGACCATCCACCGGGGACGCCATCTCATCCGGAACCCTGGCAACAAATATCCACAAACAGGGGATCCAAATGGTATTACGCCGGAGGCGAGTGATTGGCACACGCTCCCACACGAAGACAGGCTCGTTACTAAAGTTCCGCGGCTCCTCGTACAATAGTAACGTAGCAATCCTCCTCCAGTGACTCTGCGGCAACACAGACTCCAGCAACACGTCCCCCAGGTGCCCAATGCACATCTTCCGAGCACAGACCCGCACAGAGGGCACCACCACAGGGGCATCAGCAGCTACGGGCACACCGTCGGACGACAGCCGGGAATCCGATCGGCGTGGATCCTTCCGCAAAGTCACCACCAGGCCACGCCCAGCACCAGCATCCCCACCATCCCTGGCAGCGGAAGCCACCACCCCCCACCGCGGAGAGCCCTCCGGTGGAGGAGCAGAAGGCGCACGTGCGACACAGCAACCGTCACCAGCAGACACATGGACCTCCACCTCCTCTAACCGTGGAGCCAACTGCGCATTCGGACCCACACCGTCCACATCCGAGGATCCACAGTCACTAAAATCCCCAACATCGGCCCAGGCAGACGACGAACGCCTGGAACGTTTGGGCTCCGGCCGAATATCGTCAGAGCCAGAAACAGACCCAGAAACACGGGCACCACCAGCCGGACGAACCGACGCCCGACGCATAACGGCAGCAGCCTCTACCACAGGGGAAACCGGACCACACACAGTAGGAGGCTCCGCAGCCACCCCAGCACCCAGCACAGGAGGGACCCGAGGGGAGGACGCAGGGCCAGGTTCCACAGCCGAAGACGAGGAAGCAGACGGCGACGCTCCACAGGGATCACCAGGAAGGTCCACGGGAACGGCAGGGCCAGAGACACGGTCAGGAGGAACATCCGACGGCACCGCAACACCCGGAGGTGGGTCTGCGACAACCGGGGGAATGTCGGGTGACGCTGGAAGAGCCTCAGCAGCGAACGGGACGCTCACCTCCTCACCCCCGGAGTCCCCCTCCAAAGGGAGCGGCAGGAAATCCTCCTCACGGAACAAGTTCACAGGAGCAACCGGATCAGCAGTACACCCGGCAGCCTGATGCCCCAACAATCCACACCGGAAGCAAGTGCGGGGTTGCCGGGCATAGAACACCCGCACGTAGTACCCCCAACAGCCGGATAGAGGACGGAATGTCCGACCGCAGCCGCATCCCGAGGGTCCGAATGTTGGTCTTCACACCGGAATATGTGCCAGACGATAGCGAGTTCATCCGCACACTGATGCCGGAGCCGTACCTCTGGAAGAAACACCGGAGGAGATCCTCAGGAAACTCCATGGGGGCGCCATGCACACTGACATAAGTTACAGCTCCACTACGGTCTGAAATAGTCACAGACCCTGCGCCGTCCTGCAGCTGCAAAGTACGTCCCTCGTACTTCCGGAGAAACACACGGTACCCCGCCTCCCCCACAAACTTAATGACGACATGGCGAGCAGTTACCAGCTCTACACCATACACATCCTGTACCGGGACACGAAGCATGTCACTCAAGACTAAGTCCACCAACGGCTAACCAGCACGGCAAGTAAACTCCAATCCTATGGAGTTTAGCCGCACGACAGCCGGAATAGGGCAGCCCATCGTAAACACCACCACCAGGAACAGCAGGGAGGGTAGAGACACCCACACCCCCTGCTGGCGAAAACAGCAACCACCCCAAACCTGCCGGAGCGGGCAAACGACACGTCCGCACCGCTCGGCAGCCCCAGTGGAACTTAGTGTCTCATAAGTGGTGTTAATTGTAAACAAGTCTTTGAGAATGTAAGAAGCCCTAACGAAACGCTTCTAGGCATCAGACTATTAATAAAAATGAAATTTGAAGAATTTATATTTCCATTACCACTGACAGTGGAGAAAAACATAATAAATATTGAAAAAATTCGTGTTAGAATTATTAATCTTACCTTTTCGGTCATATTCAACAACATATGTTTAAATTGTAAACATATGTTTATAATTTAAATTATATATATATGAATATATATGAATAAGTTACAACTCATCCTCCTGTTTAGATAATACATTTTGTAACCACGTTGTCCATGGTAAATATATTGACATAATGGACACTTAGCAGAATTTGCTACTATTCTCTTTATTGAGTCCAGAAAAATATTAAAAAAAATCAAACTTAAATATTTCTCGGCCTAGTAAAGGACATATATATACTATATTTGGTCTTAAATACCGGGTATTAGGCCTAGGATGGATAGTTTGTCCAAAATTTAAAAGTACCAAATTCTACTTTCTAATTGTCCATTGCATCAATATACATCACTATACAATGGGATACATGGTTACTATAGGTACTGTCTAAACAGAAGGATGGGATGAATGAGTTTGGATGGATTTAAATAGGAGCTGCCTCATATGGGACAGTAGGGCCTACTGTCGTTTCTCTATTCTTGTAATCAATCAGAATTATATAAATAAACATTTACTGTGTGGTGTAAAACAAATGTTAATGTGTTAACTTTCGCAATTGTAATGTTGCAGGAACCAGCAGTGGGGAAGTATGTGGTGGTGACGGGCTGTGACAGAGGCTTCGGCCATGCTCTGGCTCTCCAACTCGACAAACTGGTTAGTGACGCATCTTTACTGAGGTTGAGATGAACAAGGTCGTCTCACAAGTGTTCATATTGTCCTATTAATTAATCTCAAATTAAAAAAAATTGATTTGAAATTCCTGAACAACATATTACCATCGTTGGGTGGTTTCAACATTACAGTAATTTTAGAAAAACAGCAAAAGGGAGAGTGCACTTAACTTGTTGATAAACAGTGTGGCGGGTCTTAGCTCCCTCCCTTGCACTGGACACCTCTGAACACCCCGGGAGAACCTCAGTCCTCTACGAGTTTGGGTTCCTTTTCTACACGCAGACTTGCACCCGTAGCGAGTGAAGTAAGCTCCACCCCCCCCAAGGCTTCCTTATATATCGTGTTGGATGACACGGAAGCTCGGGTCCCACGACCAAGCTTTCCCACTAGTAAAAATCACTCTGACTTCCTATATATAATATATCTTTAGCAAGTTGCCAACTGAGTAATTATCACACGCAGCTTAGTACACTGAAGTGATAATTCATATATTTCCCAGTACAGCAGTTCGCGCAAGAATATGGTGTGCAACAATCCAAAAATCGTTTTAACCACAAAGGAGATGGAGAGGTAAAGCCAACCACTGGTAAAAGTAATGTGGTGTTTATTTAATGATATCAATACAGGTTTAAACAAGTGAATAAACTTCTGCCGTTCCGGTAAAAAAATAGCAACACTATTGTCACCTTTGAAAACTCTCAAGGCCACCACCATCCAAAATTGTCCGCCGAGTGTCTCAGAAGCAATGGGGAAAAAATTGTAAAGGTGATCCAGTTCTCTGTACTTACGAGATTTAGCTGATTCCCTGCGAGTGGCAGCGCCACCTGGTTGTGCAACACTGAAGCCAATGTAGGTGTTAGCCAGGATTGATACACAAGTGTAGTCCCATACCAACTGCTTGAAATTCTTCCAGGGGCTCACTGTGATATTATCTGGGTGACCAATAAGGACATCAGAGTTATGGGGCGTTAGGTAATGGGGCTCTCTTTCAGCTGGGCATCCAGTTGTGCTGAGGCTCCTACTGATGATGTCGTTAACTTCACTGTGCCTCAAGTGTCATCCCCCCCCCCTCCTGTGCTTTGGCAGAGTAGGCCATGGTGGCCGTACCTGTCAGCCACCATCTCGCCGCAAATACATCTTGATTTGGTGTAGATTTCGGCAGCAAGGTGGAGGGCCACAGCAATTCGGAGGGCGTGTTGTGTGAGACGTGTGCCAGTTGCCGACATTGTGGTTGCTAACAGGAAATCCCCTGCATGTGGTGCTGCTACTGCTGTGAGGCGAGCAATGTCGTGTTGTGTTGTTGCAGCACCCAGGCACTCTGCAGCAACGTGGTCTACAATGGGGCCATCCCTGCTGGATTGCTTGTGGGCTTTTGAGGGTGAAGGTTGAGGTGATGGGCCTGCACGAGAGGCCTACTCGGTGGCACAGCGTAAAAAATTGGGATTATGTATGCCTGGCAGCTGATATAAATAGGTAGGTACCATTTCCTTCACAAGGTTGTCAGATGCCAAGGAGGAGGGCAGGAAGGCTGGTCCAGCAATTTGCGATGCTGTTCGAACTCCGAGGCCCCCAATTCTTATGGAAAGAGAGGCTTTTTTTCTACTGTAGGTCATCAAGAGAGAGGTTGAGGGCTTTTACTATCATTGATTCCAGAAACAGTTCATAATCACCTAATTTTTGGTTACTGAAAGATGGGGAACACCAAAGAAAGTAGGTTAATCTTGTGAGGGACAGGCATTCATCCTCTTATGGTCGGTGATTTTCTTATCAAGGACCTCATCGATGGCTTTCATCCCCAGGGAAGGGGTTGAAAGAGTGTGCTGTTTTCAGGTTTAGTTATATGGATAAATGGCAGAACACCCTCTATTCTCTCTATGATGCCCTGGTTGGAACATATTATTTCCACATTTAGAAGGGTTCAGGGTTAGGCCTAAAATTGCACCTTGCTCTTGGATTTTTCTGATGTCCTCCAGGAAGGAGTCTTGGGAACCAGCTAGGGATACTATCATCCAAGAACCAGATGTTAATACACACAGAAATACACGCCTTCTCCCGAGTCAATTTCATTCTTTCAGCCTATATATAAATATATTTATATAAATCTGAAGATCTCCTAACATAAAATAAACATAATTGCCTATGAGAGAGTCTCCACCTAACTCAAGTGACATTGAGGAGGGAAACATTATCTACCTTAACATTTCCACTACAAATCAGCCGTGGGTTGCACATCACAATGACAGACGAGATCCTGTCGCTCGTAGTTTTGTTCAGCAATGACAGTAGTTCGTCTAGTCGTAGGCCCTCGTCGATCCACAGGCTGGCTCGTCCTCTCCATTTTTCTTTCTCTCTGCAGCTCCTCCTCCAGGAACACAATCACTTCAGGCTGGTAGTGCTCCCGGCTTTTTCCCTCACTACTGAACAGGCTGCATCCTCCCAGTAATCTCGTTGACAGTGCTCTTACGTCTCAGTAGTGTCGGACTGTCTTTTCCCCAGCTTCACTCAGCTACCCCTGCTAGTGTCCCACAGGACCCGGCACACGGCCCCTCCCAATGCTGCTCAGCTGCCACACGACCGCAGTTCTTGTCAGCCTTCGGCTCCTGGTGGCCTCTTCCCACCAGCAAAGCACTTCCTCAACTGCTTCCCTTGAGATTACAAGCCTTCCTCATCGTTATTATTGGTAATTGTTGCTGAGTGAATCCCTCCCGAGGTCTCTGTGTCTCCCATACTAGCGAGCTCTCGAGCGCACCTCCTCTCTCTGACGTCACTAACTGGCGAAGCTATTGCACTGCTTCCCGCCTCGTGCCGCTGACGCCCCTCCGACCTACTTATTCATGCCCTAGGCGCCATGCCATCGGTCAACGATGCCGCGAACCTGGGGCTGACCACTCAACAGACGGCTGGCACAGCTGCCACAATGTATTCCGTCCATGCCTCTGGCGGGAAAGCTCACCTCGCACCCCCATATTTTCCTGGCAGCAAAGCATAAAGCTATTCGCAAAACCTTAATTAGGCGCCAACTGTCAACTCAGGCTCCTCTTCTAAAGCATCCAAATTCTTCACTATGCCTCAAAGTATTTTCAGATCAGGGAAGTATGACTCTTATAGCTGAAATAAGGGAAATACAGATCAGTCACAACAGCAACATACATTTAGGTATATTACGCAACATATACATAGACCGTCCCGAAGAGAGGTCTTCTATACGACCAGGAAAAGTCCAATCTTAATCATACACATTGTCCCAACCGACCAATGAAAAATTAGAATATGATTACCTTGTCATATCGACAGATTAACACCTCGCCTCTCTTCGCACTAGCATTACATTCTGTATATGTCTTCCCAAACTTATTCACGTTCCAAGTGCCTCCAAACATGCTAAGGAATACTCTAGTGAAAAGTTACCATTGTAAGTGGTGTTAGTTAGGCCAATTATATATATATAATGAACTGTGGAGAGATCCTTTATCAGCTTCCTTCCCAAGCAAGGAAGAACATAAGATATATAAAGAATATTCGTAGTTGGTGTTTCAGCCTGGTGTATGTACCTGCTGTGTCCTCCTGGTGGGTCCTCAAGGAGGGCACATCAAGTGTTCTCCTGGAGGATGTCTACCTGATGTATCTACAGCTGTCATCCTGCACTTCAACCTCCCTTCCTGCAGGGATTCCGGGTGTTTGCTGGGTGCCTGCAGGCTGATGGGGAGGGCGCTAAGATCCTCAGACAAGAGGGATCCCGCCGCCTCCACGTCCTGCAGATGGACGTCACCAGCCAGGAGCAGCTGGACAAGGCTGCCGAAGAAGTCAAAAGCCTATTGCCCGAGGGAGGTGAGAGAGTAGGCCATGTTGCAAGTGCCTCATGTGTGAAAGTTTTACTTTGTAACTAAGTGAATAAACATATCTAAATACTAGGATACTATATTTCACAAATTAAAAACTATACACAAGTAAGTTACAATTCTTTTAAAACAATGTTATGTATTCTTTAAAAGTGATAATCAACTCGCATTAATTCATGTAATCAGATATGTATGGAATAGAATAGGGAGTGATCTCTTGGTGTTAAGCAAGCCAATTACTCTCCCTTATCTCCGACTTTTTTTATGTTGAGCACTGTGTTCATAGGCAAGATATTCTGAACTTCTGTACATGGCTGAGTTTGGATAGATGTAGGCAAGCGCTGTTGCATCTAGGAAAGGCAGATGATCTTCCTGGACAGGATGGTAGAGCGGCTCTCTTGATTCTTGCAGGACGAAGTTCAACTCCCAACCATCCAAGTGGTTGGGCACCATTACTTTCCTTCTTGTTAAACTAAACCCTTATCTCTTTATCCCTTCCATGCACTATATAGTCGTAATAGCTTAGTGCTTTAGTCTGATAATTTCCGATATCAGAGGAATAATAATAATAGTCAGATATCTACTTTACCTTACCTTCATTCTCCTACTCGTACGGGAAACTTAGCACATAACTTTGCTCGAAGGGTTTCTTAAGGTTTAGTAAGCGCTCAGTGTCAGGTAACTGCAAGAATATGATATCAGCGTACCTACAGTAAACGCTTGGTTTGAGGTCAGAATAAAAAGGAACTTTCTATTAAACAGCACCAATGTAAAATTTCACCCAAATGCCCAAGATTATTATCCGAGTGCCGGCGGTGGGGTGGTTCAAATAGCCTCGGCTATCACCTCATTATGTCCGGTCGTGATGGTCAAGTGGATTAAGGCGTCTTGTACATACCAGTTGCGTTGCTCCTGGGAGTATGGGTTCGAGTCACTTCTGGGGTGTGAGTTTTCAGTTGCATATTGTCCTGGGGACCATTCAGGCTTGTTCGCATTTGTGTTCCTCACGTGTGCCCCAAAAAATGAGGTGATTTGGTAAAATGCTATGCCCAAGATTACTATCAGAGTGCCGGCGGTGGGGTGGTTCAAATAGCCTCGGCTATCACCTCATTATGTCCGGTCGTGATGGTCAAGTGGATTAAGGCGTCTTGTACATACCAGTTGCGTTGCTCCTGGGAGTATGGGTTTGAGTCACTTCTGGGGTGTGAGTTTTCAGTTGCATATTGTCCTGGGGACCATTCAGGCTTGTTTGCATTTGTGTTCCTCACGTGTGCCCCAAAGAATGAGGTGATTTGGTAAAATGCTATGCCCAAGATTACTATCAGAGTGCCGGCGGTGGGGTGGTTCAAATAGCCTCGGCTATCACCTCATTATGTCCGGTCGTGATGGTCAAGTGGATTAAGGCGTCTTGTACATACCAGTTGCGTTGCTCCTGGGAGTATGGGTTCGAGTCACTTCTGGGGTGTGAGTTTTCAGTTGCATATTGTCCTGGGGACCATTCAGGCTTGTGTTCCTCACGTGTGCCCCAAAGAATGAGGTGATTTGGTAAAATGCTATGCCCAAGATTACTATCCGAGTGCCGGCGGTGGGGTGGTTCAAATAGCCTCGGCTATCACCTCATTATGTCCGGTCGTGATGGTCAAGTGGATTAAGGGTCTTGTACATACCAGTTGCGTTGCTCCTGGGAGTATGGGTTCGAGTCACTTCTGGGGTGTGAGTTTTCAGTTGCATATTGTCCTGGGGACCATTCAGGCTTGTTCGCATTTGTGTTCCTCACGTGTGCCCCAAAGAATGAGGTGATTTGGTAAAATGCTATGCCCAAGATTACTATCCGAGTGCCGGCGGTGGGGTGGTTCAAATAGCCTCGGCTATCACCTCATTATGTCCGGTCGTGATGGTCAAGTGGATTAAGGCGTCTTGTACATACCAGTTGCGTTGCTCCTGGGAGTATGGGTTCGAGTCACTTCTGGGGTGTGAGTTTTCAGTTGCATATTGTCCTGGGGACCATTCAGGCTTGTTCACATTTGTGTTCCTCACGTGTGCCCCAAAGAATGAGGTGATTTGGTAAAATGCTATGCCCAAGATTACTATCCGAGTGCCGGCGGTGGGGTGGTTCAAATAGCCTCGGCTATCACCTCATTATGTCCGGTCGTGATGGTCAAGTGGATTAAGGTGTCTTGTACATACCAGTTGCGTTGCTCCTGGGAGTATGGGTTCGAGTCACTTCTGGGGTGTGAGTTTTCAGTTGCATATTGTCCTGGGGACCATTCAGGCTTGTTCGCATTTGTGTTCCTCACGTGTGCCCCAAAGAATGAGGTGATTTGGTAAAATGCTATGCCCAAGATTACTATCCGAGTGCCGGCGGTGGGGTGGTTCAAATAGCCTCGGCTATCACCTCATTATGTCCGGTCGTGATGGTCAAGTGGATTAAGGCGTCTTGTACATACCAGTTGCGTTGCTCCTGGGAGTATGGGTTCGAGTCACTTCTGGGGTGTGAGTTTTCAGTTGCATATTGTCCTGGGGACCATTCAGGCTTGTTCACATTTGTGTTCCTCACGTGTGCCCCAAAGAATGAGGTGATTTGGTAAAATGCTATGCCCAAGATTACTATCCGAGTGCCGGCGGTGGGGTGGTTCAAATAGCCTCGGCTATCACCTCATTATGTCCGGTCGTGATGGTCAAGTGGATTAAGGTGTCTTGTACATACCAGTTGCGTTGCTCCTGGGAGTATGGGTTCGAGTCACTTCTGGGGTGTGAGTTTTCAGTTGCATATTGTCCTGGGGACCATTCAGGCTTGTTCGCATTTGTGTTCCTCACGTGTGCCCCAAAGAATGAGGTGATTTGGTAAAATGCTATGCCCAAGATTACTATCCGAGTGCCGGCGGTGGGGTGGTTCAAATAGCCTCGGCTATCACCTCATTATGTCCGGTCGTGATGGTCAAGTGGATTAAGGCGTCTTGTACATACCAGTTGCGTTGCTCCTGGGAGTATGGGTTCGAGTCACTTCTGGGGTGTGAGTTTTCAGTTGCATATTGTCCTGGGGACCATTCAGGCTTGTTCGCATATATATATATATATATATATATATATATATATATATATATATATATATATATATATATATATATATATATATATGAAAATGAAAACTCACACCCCCGAAGTGACTCGAACCCATACTCCCAGAAGCAACGCAACTGGTAACTACAGGGCGCCTTAATCCGCTTGACCATCACGGCCGTCAAAAGGAAGTGATAGCCGAGGCTATTTGAGCCACTTCCCCGACGGCAACTCGGATGGTAATCTTGGGCATAGCATTTCACCAAATCACCTCATTCTTTGGGGCACACGTGAGGAACACAAATGCGAACAAGCCTGAATGGTCCCCAGGACTATATGCGAATGAAAACTCACACCCCAGAAGTGACTCGAACCCATACTCCCAGAAGCAACGCAACTGGTAACTACAGGGCGCCTTAATCCGCTTGACCATCACGGCCGTCAAAAGGAAGTGATAGCCGAGGCTATTTGAGCCACTTCCCCGACGGCAACTCGGATGGTAATCTTGGGCATAGCATTTCACCAAATCACCTCATTCTTTGGGGCACACGTGAGGAACACAAATGCGAACAAGCCTGAATGGTCCCCAGGACTATATGCGAATGAAAACTCACACCCAGAAGTGACTCGAACCCATACTCCCAGAAGCAACGCAACTGGTAACTACAGGGCGCCCTGTAGTTACCAGTTGCGTTGCTTCTGGGAGTATGGGTTCGAGTCACTTCTGGGGTGTGAGTTTTCATTCGCATATAGTCCTGGGGACCATTCAGGCTTGTTCGCATTTGTGTTCCTCACGTGTGCCCCAAAGAATGAGGTGATTTGGTGAAATGCTATGCCCAAGATTACCATCCGAGTTGCCGTCGGGGAAGTGGCTCAAATAGCCTCGGCTATCACTTCCTTTTGACGGCCGTGATGGTCAAGCGGATTAAGGCGCCCTGTAGTTACCAGTTGCGTTGCTTCTGGGAGTATGGGTTCGAGTCACTTCTGGGGTGTGAGTTTTCATTCGCATATAGTCCTGGGGACCATTCAGGCTTGTTCGCATTTGTGTTCCTCACGTGTGCCCCAAAGAATGAGGTGATTTGGTGAAATGCTATGCCCAAGATTACCATCCGAGTTGCCGTCGGGGAAGTGGCTCAAATAGCCTCGGCTATCACTTCCTTTTGACGGCCGTGATGGTCAAGCGGATTAAGGCGCCCTGTAGTTACCAGTTGCGTTGCTTCTGGGAGTATGGGTTCGAGTCACTTCTGGGGTGTGAGTTTTCATTCGCATATAGTCCTGGGGACCATTCAGGCTTGTTCGCATATATATATATATATATATATATATATATATATATATATATATATATATATATATATATATATATATATATATATATATATATATATATATATATATATATATATATATATATATGTCGTACCTAGTAGCCAGAACGCACTTCTCTGCCTGCTATGCAAGGCCCGATTTGCATAATAAGCCAAGTTTTCATGAATTAATTGTTTTTCGACTACCTAACCTAACCTAACTTTTTCGGCTACCTAACCTAACCTAACCTATAAAGATAGGTTAGGTTAGGTTAGATAGGGTTGGTTAGGTTCGGTCATATATCTACGTTAATTTTAACTCCAAATAAAAAAAATTGACCTCATACATAATGAAATGGGTAGCTTTATCATTTCATAAGAAAAAAATTAGAGAAATATATTAATTCAGGAAAACTTGGCTTATTAAGCAAATCGGGTCTTGCATAGTAGGCTGAGAAGTGCGTTCTGGCTACTAGGTACGACATATATATATATATATATATATATATATATATGTCGTACCTAATAGCCAGAACGCACTTCTCAGCCTACTATTCAAGGCCCGATTTGCCTAATAAGCCAAGTTTTCATGAATTAATGTTTTTTCGTCTACCTAACCTACCTAACCTAACCTAACCTAGCTTTTTTTGGCAACCTAACCTAACCTTACCTATAAATATAGGTTAGGTTAGGTTAGGTAGGGTTGGTTAGGTTCGGTCATATATCTACGTTAATTTTAACTCCAATAAAAAAAAATTGACCTCATACATAGAGAAAAGGGTTGCTTTATCATTTCATAAGAAAAAATTATAGTAAATATATTAATTCAGGAAAACTTGGCTTATTAGGCAAATCGGGCCTTGAATAGTAGGCTGAGAAGTGAGTTCTGGCTACTAGGTACGACATATATATATATATATATATATATATATATATATATATATATATATATATATATATATATATATATATATATATATATATATATATTGGTATATTTTCTTGTAAATATAGTACGCAGTAGTAGTCTTTCTTGTAAACATATGTTGTTGAATATGACCGCAAAAGTAAGATTATTAATTCTAACACGAATTTTCTCAATATTTCTTATGTTTCTTTTTACTGTCGATGGTAATTGAAAAATGAATTCTCCAAAATTCATTTTTAATTCTAGTCTGACGCGACGCTTGAACGCGTTTCGTAATAACTTATTACATTTTCAAAGACTTTACACACGCAACTGTATCCTGAAAACACTAACAGTTTTACTTATGCCTAAACTAAACAGGTTGTCTTATATACTCGCACTTGGGTGAGGTGATATGTTGCAGCAGTTTTGGATGAGGTGAACAAACTTTTGACCAACACAAGACAAAACACGGAACAATGGGTATTAATTGGATAAATGAGAGAGAAGAATGGAAGTAACTGCAAAGGGCCTATTGGCCCATACTTCCTCTTGATGCTTCTATATTGGAGCGGAGTCTTGAAGTGGGTAGAATATAGTTGTGCATTAATTGGCTGTTGATTGCTGGTGTTGACTTCTTAATGTGTAGTGCCTCGCAGATGTCAAGCCGCCTGCTATCGCTGTATCTATCGATGATTTCTGTGTTGTTTGTTATGACTTCTATGGTGATGGTCTGGTTGTGGGAAGAGATTATATGTTCCTTAATGGAGCCCTGTTGCTTATGCGTTGTTAATCGCCTGGAAAGAGATGTTGTTATCTTGCCTATATACTGAGTTCTTTGGAGTTTACAGTCCCCAAGAGGGCATTTGAAGGCATAGACGACGTTGGTCTCTTTTAAAGCGTTCTGCTTTGTGTCTGGAGAGTTTCTCATGAGTAGGTTGGTCGTTTTTTTGGTTTTATAGTAAATCGTCAGTTGTATCTTCTGATTTTTGTCTGTAGGGATAACGTTCCTATTAACAATATCTTTCAGGACCCTTTCCTCCGTTTTATGAGCTGTGGAAAAGAAGTTCCTGTAAAATAGTCTAATAGTCTAATAATACAACTAACACAGGTGTTGTGTTAGTTGTGTCTTCAGAGGTTACATGGCGTTTCACTTTCCTTCTTATGATGTCTTCAACGAAACCATTGGAGAAGCCATTGTTGGCAAATCGGGCCTTGCATAGTAGGCCGAGAAGTGCATTCTGGCTACTTGGTACGAAATATGTGTGTGTGTGTATATATATATATATATATATATATATATATATATATATATATATATATATATATATATATATATATATATATATATATATATATATATATAATTTTTAAAATTTTCCGATGGTTAGTTTTATTTACTGCTGTAAGTATGTCCATAACTTTAATACTTATACGAATAGGATTTGTATATTATTAATAAATTATTTCATAAAGGTAAATTAATTCATTCCTTTAGTGAATAAATGTTTATAATATAATATTCATGTTGGAGGCATTATATTCATAAGTGATTCATATTCATAGGTTAGAAAGCTGGTAAATCCAAGTTAACATATAAATTATTACAACCTAAAAAATACAGTTTTTACTATATTTTTGTGAGGTTATAAGATACTTCTCTCCCACCTGCTGCAGAAGGTGTGTGGGGCCTGGTGAACAACGCCGGCTTGCTATGCATGGGCCCCGTGGAGTGGACCTCCATGGACAACTTCAGGAAACTACCGGAGGTCAACCTCTTCGGCCTCATTGCCGCCACCAAGACCTTCCTACCACTTGTCCGTCGCGCCAGAGGTCAGTGGGTGTCAGTTATCTTCCAGAGCGAATGTCGAGAAAGGTCAGCTGTCAGGTCAGCTGTCAACGAAGGTGTTAGCTGTCAGGTCAGCTGTCAGCGAAGGTGTTAGCTGTCAGGTCAGCTGTCAGGTCAGCTGTCAACGAAGGTGTTAGCTGTCAGGTCAGCTGTCAGCGAAGGTGTTAGCTGTCAGGTCAGCTGTCAGCGAAGGTGTTAGCTGTCAGGTCAGCTGTCAGCGAAGGTGTTAGCTGTCAGGTCAGCTGTCAGCGAAGGTGTTAGCTGTCAGGTCAGCTGTTAGCGAAGGTGTTAGCTGTCAGGTCAGGAGGGAGAGAGAAGGGGGAGGGAGGTAGGGAGAGAGAGAGAGAGAGAGAGGGAGGGAGAGATGGAGGGAGGAGACACATAAAGTGAAAGAGAGAGAGAGAGAGAGCTGTGTGGTATTATAATTAATCTATTATCTTGAGGTGTTGGGTGGTATATTTAGTAATCTATGTGAGCTAGAAGAGAGAGCCGAGTCTCCCACCCTGAGGACTTCCAGTGTTCATTGGTAGTGTGGGTGACGTGATTCTAGTCATAACGGATACTGCCTTCTCTCTCTGACATGCGAATATAGGTAAAAGAGTGAGTGTCCCTTGTCTTCATAGAAACGTATCACAAGAGGAAAGTTATTATGATCAAATGTTTCAAAAATCATTTGAGCACCAACTATATGTAGTAACTGAGGTGATGTATCAGCAACAATAAAATCTTTCAAGTGCCAGGCACGATGAATGATGAGGACGGCTGTCATTTTCCAAGTGCAGAAACAATTCGCATCATTTACCTGTGATGGTGAGGTCTAACGCAAATTGAGAAGCATGAACAGAAACCCGTTACTTTCAAAAAAACGAAAATTATATATTTCGAGCTATGTGTAAGGCATGATAATTATCAAGAAAAATACCTAGGCCATTACGACTACACACCACCTAGAAGGGAGGAGGATAAATATTTAGGATTGGACAGAGAAAAGGATTGGTGCCCAACCACATGAATGGTAGGGGATCGAATACCAACCTGCAAGAAGAGATATCGTTGCTCTATCGACTGGTGCAAATAGCTGGGCATCAGACTTTGTGTATGTGTGTGTATTTACAATTTGTCTCTGCAGAATCGAGTTATTAGCTCTTTGACACCCCCCTTTCTAATCAACCTATTTTTCCTCTATTATATCTACTACATATATTTCTAACACATGCACAGACAAACACACATCCCCAGGAAGCAGCCTCTAGCAGCTGTCTAACTCCCAGGCTGCTAACCTAACTCTAACTCCTCTGTTCACCTGTTTACTGCAAGATGAACAGAGGCATCAGGGTGAAAGAAATTCTACCTATTTGTTTTCGTTTCGGCTAGGAATCGAACACGGGCCTTTAGGACTACGACCCCCCGAGATTTGTCCACTCAGCTGCAAGGTCCGATATGTATGTGTGTGTGTGTACTCACCTAGTTGTGCCGATGGGGGTTCAGCTCTGGCTCTTTGGTCCCGCCTTTCAACTGTCAAACAACTCGTGTACAGATTCCTGAGACTACTGGGTTCTGTCATGTCTACAATTAAAACTGGTTATGTAGTCTGCCTCCATCGCATCTCTGTCTAAAGCATTCCACTTGTTAACTACTCTGACACTGAAAAAGTTCTTTCTAACGTCCCTGTGGGTCGCTTGGGTACTCAGTTTCCACTTGTGTCCCCTTGTTCGTTTACCACCCGTGTTAAACAGTTTATCTTTATCTTCCCTGTCAATTCCACTGGGAACTTTGTAAGTAGTGATTATGTCTCTGCGAACTCTCCTGCCTTCCAGCGACGTGAGGGGCAATTCACTCAGCCGTTCATCGTATCTCATGTCTTTGACCTAAGATGCGAGGAACAACATACAAACTTCTTAGTTTTAGGACTAGCCTAGTAGCATACCGGAGCCGGTCGGCCGAGCGGACAGCACGCTGGACTTGTGATCCTGTGGTCCTGGGTTCGATCCCAGGCACCGGCGAGAAACATTGGGCAGAGTTTCTTTCACCCTATGCCCCTGTTACCTAGCAGTAAATAGGTACCTGGGTGTTAGTCAGCCGTCACGGGCTGCTTCCTGGGGGTGGAGGGCTGGTCGAGGACCGGGCCGCGGGGACACTAAAAAGCCCCGAAATCATCTCAAGATAACCTCAAGATATACCTCTGAACTTTCTCCAGCATCGTCTTGTGCATGATACGGTACATGGTCCATGCTGGAATTGAATACTCCAGGATTGGTCTTACATACGTGGTATATAAGGCTCTGAATCATTTCTTACACAGCTTCCTGAAGGCAGTCCAGATGTTAGCCAACCTTTCATACGCTCCTGATGGTATTCTTTTTATGTGGGCTTCAGGAGACAGGTTTGGTGTGATATCAACTCCTAGATCTTTTTCTCTCCTGTCTACATCTTCAGCTTGTGCACTAGCTCTTGTGTGGTACTGTGTCAAAGGCTTTCTGGCAATCCAAAAATATACAGTCTGCCCACCCCAGACTGTGTGTGTGTGTGTGTGTGTGTTCCATCCTCCGCATGGAGGACCAGAAACATGGAGAGCTAAGCTGCTGGACGTGGCAACAAGAAACTTTCTAAGCCAGCATACCAAAGAGCCAACAAGAATGAGAGGAGAAGATGAACCAGCAATGCTTGATTTGATATTTACCCTAAATGAATGGGATATAAGGGAAGTTAAGATGGAAGCGCCCTTGGGAATGAGTGACCACAGTGTATTGAACTTTGAGTACCTGGTAGAGCTAGGACTTATCTCCCCCCAAAAAGAACTAGGAATCAAAAGGCTGGCATACCGAAAGGGGAATTATGAACAGATGAGAAGTTTCCTAAGTGAAATACCTTGGGACACAGACCTCAGAGACAAGTCTGTACAGGGTATGATGGACTATGTTACCCAAAAGTGTCAGGAGGCAGTAAACAGGTTCATCCCGGCCCAAAGGGAAAAATCCGAGAAGCAACAGAAGAATCCACGGTATAATAGGGCATGTATGGAAGCGAAGAAACTGAACAAAAGGCGTGGAGGAACTTCCGGAATAACAGAACACCAGAAAGCAGGGAGAGATACCAGAGAACCAGGAATGAGTACGTCAGGGTGAGAAGAGAAGCAGAGAAAAATTTTGAAAATGATATAGCAAACAAAGCCAAGACCGAACCAAAGCTACTCCACAGTCACATCAGAAGGAAAACAACAGTGAAAGAACAGGTATTGAAACTTAGAACAGGCGAGGACAGGTATACAGAGAATGACAGAGAGGTGTGTGAGGAACTCAACAAGAGGTTCCAGGAGGTCTTCACAATAGAACAGGGTGAGGTCACTGTGCTAGGAGAAAGGGAGGTAAACCAGGCGGCCTTGGAGGAGTTCAAAATTACGAGAGAGGAGGTCAAGAGACACCTGCTGGATCTGGATGTTAGAAAGGCGGTTGGTCCAGATGGGATCTCACCATGGGTACTGAAAGAGTGTGCAGAGGCACTTTGCTTGCCACTCTCCATAGTGTATAGTAAATCACTAGAGACGGGAGACCTACCAGAAATATGGAAGACGGCGAATGTGGTCCCAATATACAAAAAGGGCGACAGACAAGAGGCACTGAACTACAGGCCAGTGTCCTTGACTTGTATACCATGCAAGGTGATGGAGAAGATCGTGAGAAAAAACCTGGTAACACATCTGGAGAGAAGGGACTTCGTGACAAATCGCCAACATGGATTCAGGGAGGGTAAATCTTGCCTTACAGGCTTGATAGAATTCTACGATCAGGTGACACAGATTAAGCAAGAAAGAGAGGGCTGGGCGGACTGCATTTTCTTGGATTGTCGGAAAGCCTTTGACACAGTACCGCATAAGAGGCTGGTACATAAGCTGGAGAGACAGGCAGGTGTAGCTGGTAAGGTGCTCCAGTGGATAAGGGAGTATCTAAGCAATAGGAAGCAGAGTTACGGTGAGGGGTGAGACCTCCGATTGGCGTGAAGTCACCAGTGGAGTCCCACAGGGCTCTGTACTCGGTCCTATCTTGTTTCTGATATATGTAATGATCTCCCGGAGGGTATCGATTCATTTCTCTCAATGTTTGCGGACGATGCTAAAATTATGAGAAGGATTAAAACAGAAGAGGACTGTTTGAGGCTTCAAGAAGACCTAGACAAGCTGAAGGAATGGTCGAACAAATGGTTGTTAGAGTTTAACCCAACCAAATGTAATGTAATGAAGATAGGTGTAGGGAGCAGGAGGCCAGATACAAGGTATCATCTGGGAGAGGAAATTCTTCAGGAGTCAGAGAAGGAAAAAGACTTGGGGGTTGATATTACGCCAGACCTGTCTCCTGCAGCACATATCAAGCGGATAACATCAGCGGCATATGCCAGGCTGGCCAACATACGAACGGCATTCAGAAACTTGTGTAAAGAATCATTCAGAACTTTGTATACCACATATGTCAGGCCAATCCTGGAGTATGCAGCCCCAGCATGGAGTCCATATCTAGTCAAGGATAAGACTAAACTGGAAAAGGTTCAAAGGTTTGCCACCAGACTAGTACCCGAGCTGAGAGGTATGAGCTACGAGGAGAGACTACGGGAATTAAACCTCACTTCGCTGGAAGACAGAAGAGTTAGGGGGGACATGATCACCACATTCAAGATTCTGAAGGGGATTGATAGGGTAGATAAAGACAGTCTATTTAACACAAGGGGAACACGCACAAGGGGACACAGGTGGAAACTGAGTGCCCAAATGAGCCACAGAGATATTAGAAAGAACTTTTTTAGTGTCAGAGTGGTTGACAAATGGAATGCATTAGGGGGTGATGTGGTGGAGGCTCACTCCATACACAGTTTCAAGTGTAGATATGACAGAGCCCGATAGGCTCAGGAATCTGTACACCTGTTGATTGACGGTTGAGAGGCGGGACCAAAGAGCCAGAGCTCAACCCCCGCAAACACAACTAGGTGAGTACATAGTTGTATTCACCTAATTGTGCTTGCGGGGGCTTAGCTCTGCTCTTTCGGCCCGTCTCTCAACTGTCAATCAACTGTTACTTACTACTAACAATTATTTTCACACACACACACCCCAGGAAGCAGCCTGTACCCGTTGTCTAATTCCCCAGTACCTATTTACTGCTAGGTAACAGGGGCATCAGGGGTTAAAGAAACTCTGCCCAATTTTTTTTTCTCGACGGCGCCGGAAATCGAACCCGGGCCACAGGAGTTCGTGTCCAGCGTGCTATCCACACAGCCACCGGCTCCGCCGGCACCACCGGTGTGTGTGTGTGTGTGTGTGTGTGTGTGTGTGTGTGTGTGTGTGTGTGTGTGTGTGTGTGTGTGTGTGTGTGTGTGTGTGTGTGTGTGTGTGTGTGTGTGTGTGTGTTTGTGTGCGTGTGTGTGTGTGTGTGTGTGTGTGTGTGTGTGTGTGTGTATGTGTTTACTAGTTGTGTTTTTGCAGGGGTTGAGCTTTGCTCTTTCGGCCCGCCTCCCAACTGTCAATCAACTGTTTACTAACTACTTTTTTTTTTTTTTTTTTCCACACACCACACACACACACACCCCAGGAAGCAGCCCGTGACAGCTGACTAACTCCCAGGTACCTATTTACTGCTAGGCTACAGGGGCACTTAGAGTGAAAGAAACTTTGCCCATTTGTTTCTGCCTCGTGCGGGAATCGAACCCGCGCCACAGAATTACGAGTCCTGCGCGCTATCCACCAGGCTACGAGGCCCCGGGTGTATGTGTGTGTGTGTGTGTGTGTGTACCTTAAACCATGAATCACAAAGATGAGACTTGTCTTGTTTACAGGTCGAGTTGTGAATGTATCTAGCATCGCTGGTCGCTTTGGTCAAGCATACATGAGTGCTTACTGCGCCACCAAGTATGCTGTAGAAGGATTCAGCGATGTCCTCAGGTGAGTGTACCGTGTAGAGGACCACTGCTCACTCTACTCTAAGGTACTCCAATATTTATATATGCAGCACCTGTTGAAGCCTTGTCTGGCGCCCACGTGTGCTGGCATATATTTATTGTCTTCTCTTACCACCCCCTTATATATGTAAGTATTTATTATATTTAAAATTTATTACAAAAAAAGGAGTTACATGTAAAGTACAAAGATGAATATCATAAGTTTTCGAGTTCCTCCAGCTCCTCAAATGGCAGACAGGAACCCTGAATGTAGTGTGAATTTTCCCATCTGTATCGCCACACTTAGGCCCTGAAAAGGACGCTGGAAGCTCTAGGGGTGTCTTGCTGTTTCAATTAGCCTAGCGAACAGTTTCTTCAGAAACTGACGGAATCAGCCCGTCCTCTAAAAATGGAGAGGTAAATGTAACAGCACGAATAAGTGCAATTATGTACTATTCATAGTAGTCAGGAATTGTACTTATTTTCACTTAGTATTAAATCGTAGTCATATATATTGTGAATATTTGAGTTCACCTGAAAAGCTGAATAGAAAACCACAACCTCACCTAACCGTCTTAGTGTTTGAAGATAATCATTTTAATTACAATTTCTTAATTACAATTAGTACTTAACGTATAGCTATATTGGTATTAAAGTTTTATATAACTAGTAAAGTAAAACTAGAATGTATAAAAAAATTGTAAAGTAACTCAGGATATTTTCCAATTTTGTATAAAATCTTTATTGTTTAATAAAATTGAAAAATAAATTCTTAATATTTAAAAGTTGTGCCTAGCAGGTCGAACTTGAAAACCTCCTCCTAAAATTCTGATTGGCTTTATAGAAAACGAGGAGAATAAATGGGAAGGTAAATGTAACAGCTCCATAGGTGCAATTATGTACTATTAATGACAATAAGAAAATGTACTTATTACACTTAATATTAAGTCGTATTGTTAATTCGGAGGATGAGTTGGGATCTTACACCAGGCGCCAGGTTTATTGAGAACCAATGGGGACAAAACTGTAGTGGTGATCCAGTTGTCCAGGTCCAGTTTGTACCTACAGATCTTGGCTGATTCCATTTGAGAGGCAGTGCCACCCAGATGTGCAACACTAAAAGTTATTGTAGGTGTTAACCAGGGTTGATACATACCTGCAGTGCCACACCAATGGCTTGCCATTCATCCTGGGGTTCACTGTGATAACATATGGGCGACACAAAAGAGCAGCAGAGTTATGGGGCGCTTTCTCAGTTGGGCAGTCAGTTGAATATATATATATATATATATATATATATATATATATATATATATATATATATATATATATATATATATATATATATATATATATATATATATATATATATATATATATATATATAGTCGTACCTAGTAGCCAGAACTCACTTCACGGCCTACTATGCAAGGCCCGATTTGCCTAATAAGCCTAATAAGTTTTCCTGAATTAGTATATTTTCTCTAATTTTTTTCTTATGAAATGATAAAGCTACCCATTTCATTATGTATGAGGTCAATTTTTTTTATTGGAGTTATAATTAACGTAGATATATGACCGAACCTAACCAACCCTACCTAACCTAACCTAACCTAACCTATCTTTATAGGTTAGGTTAGGTTAGGTAGTCAAAAAACAATTAATTCATGAAAACTTGGCTTATTAGGCAAATTGAGCCTTGCATAGTAAGTTTAGAAGTGCGTTCTGGCTATTAGGTACGACATATATATATATATATATATATATATATATATATATATATATATATATGTCGTACCTAGTAGCCAGAACTCACTTTTTGGCCTACTATTCAAGGCCCGATTTGCCTAATAAGCCAAGTTTTCCTGAATTAATATATTTTTTCTATTTTTTTTCTTATGAAATGATAAAGCTACCCATTTCATTATGTATGAGGTCAATTTTTTTTTATTGGAGTTAAAATTAACGTAGATATATGACCGAACCTAACCAACCCTACCTAACCTAACCTAACCTATCTTTATAGGTTAGGTTTGGTTAGGTAGCCGAAAAAGTTAGGTTAGGTTAGGTTAGGTAGGTTAGGTAGTCGAAAAACAATTAATTCATGAAAACTTGGCTTATTAGGCAAATCGGACCTTGCATAGTAGGCTGAGAAGTGCGTTCTGGCTACTAGGTACGACATATATATATATATATATATATATATATATATATGTCGTACCTAGTAGCCAGAACTCACTTTTCAGCCTACTATGCAAGGCCCGATTTGCCTAATAAGCCAAGTTTTCCTGAATTAATATATTTTCTCTAATTTTTTTCTTATGAAATGATAAAGCTACCCATTTCATTATGTATGAGGTCAATTGATTTTTATTGGAGTTAAAATTAACGTAGATATATGACCGAACCTAACCAACCCTACCTAACCTAACCTAACCTATCTTTATAGGTTAGGTTAGGTTAGGTAGCCGAAAAAGTTAGGTTAGGTTAGGTTAGGTAGGTTAGGTTGCCGAAAAACAATTAATTCATGAAAACTTGGCTTATTAGGCAAATCGGGCCTTGCATAGTAGGCTGAGAAGTGAGTTCTGGCTACTAGGTACGACATATATATATATATATATATATATATATATATATATATATATATATATATATATATATATATATATATATATATATATATATATATATATATATATATATATGTGTGTGTGTGTATATCACGAAAATAAACACGTAATTAAGAATGTGACAATGTCAGACCACGAAGGAAAAATGAAACAGGAAATTTCCTTAAGTACTTTCGTATATTAAATACTTTTTTTTGACCTTCTGAAGATGTATTTAATATACGAAAGTACTTAAGGAAATTTCCTGTTTCATTTTTCCTTCGTGGTCTGACATTGTCATATATATATATATATATATATATATATATATATATATATATATATATATATATATATAATGTCGTACCTAGTAACCAGAACGCACTTCTCAGCCTACTATGCAAGGCCCGATTTGCCTAATAAGCGACATTTTACTGAATTAATGTTTTTTCGAATTATTAATGTTACTTTTTCGGTCATATTTAATAATATATATATATATATATATATATATATATATATATATATATATATATATATATATATATATATATATATATAATGTCGTACCTAGTAACCAGAACGCACTTCTCAGCCTACTATGCAAGGCCCGATTTGCCTAATAAGCGACATTTTACTGAATTAATGTTTTTTCGAATTATTAATGTTACTTTTTCGGTCATATTTAATATATATATATATATATATATATATATATATATATATATATATATATATATATATATATATATATATATATATATATATATATATAATGTCGTACCTAGTAACCAGAACGCACTTCTCAGCCTACTATGCAAGGCCCGATTTGCCTAATAAGCGACATTTTACTGAATTAATGTTTTTTCGACTACCTAACCTACCTAACCTAACCTAACCTAACTTTTTCGACTACCTAACCTAACCTATAGAGATAGGTTAGGTTAGGTTAGGTAGGGTTGGTTAGGTTCGGTCATATATCTACGTTAATTTTAACTCCAATAAAAAAAATTGACCTCATACATAATGAAATGGGTAGCTTTATCATTTCATAAGAAAAAAATAGAGAAAATATATTAATTCAGTAAAACTTGGCTTATTAGGCAAATCGAGCCTTGCATAGTAAGTTTAGAAGTGCGTTCTGGCTATTAGGTACGACATATATATATATATATATATATATATATATATATATATATATATATATATATATATATATATATATATATATATATATATATATATATATATATATATATATATATATATATATATATATATATATATATATATATATATATATATATATATATATATGTCGTACCTAATAGCCAGAACGCACTTCTAAACTTACTATGCAAGGCTCGATTTGCCTAATAAGCCAAGTTTTACTGAATTAATATATTTTCTCTATTTTTTTTCTTATGAAATGATAAAGCTACCCATTTCATTATGTATGAGGTCAACTTTTTTTATTGGAGTTAAAATTAACGTAGATATATGACCGAACCTAACCAACCCTACCTAACCTAACCTAACCTATCTCTATAGGTTAGGTTAGGTAGTCGAAAAAGTTAGGTTAGGTTAGGTAGGTTAGGTAGTCGAAAAAACATTAATTCAGTAAAATGTCGCTTATTAGGCAAATCGGGCCTTGCATAGTAGGCTGAGAAGTGCGTTCTGGTTACTAGGTACGACATTATATATATATATATATATATATATATATATATATATATATATATATATATATATATATATATATATATATATATATATATATATATTATTAAATATGACCGAAAAAGTAACATTAATAATTCTAACACGAATTTTCTCAATCTTTCGTACATTTCTTTTCACTGTTGGAGGTAAATCAAAAATCAATTCTCCAAAATTCATTTTTATTTCTAGTCTGACGCGACACGAGCGCGTTTCGTAAAACTTATTACATTTTCAAAGACTTTAGTTTACAAATACACAACTGAATAGAACTTACGCATCTCCGTTTTTATATCTACATTTGAGAGAGGTGGATGGGGTGAGGTGGCATTAATAGGGTATTAATTTCATCAACACAAGACAGAACAAGAGGTGGTATTAATAGGGTATTAATTTCATCAACACAAGACAGAACACGAAACAATGGGTATTGAATAGAAGTGATTGTAGAAAGCCTATTGGTCCATATTTCTTGATGCTTCTATATTGGAGCGGAGTCTTGAGGTGGGTAGAATATAGTTGTGCATTAATTGGCTGTTGATTGCTGGTGTTGACTTCTTGATGTGTAGTGCCTCGCAAACGTCAAGCCGCCTGCTATCGCTGTATCTATCAACGCCTGCTATCGCTGTCGATAGATACAGCGATAGCAGGCGGCTTGACGTTTGCGAGGCACTACACATCAAGAAGTCAACACCAGCAATCAACAGCCAATTAATGCACAACTATATTCTACCCACCTCAAGACTCCGCTCCAATATAGAAGCATCAAGAAATATGGACCAATAGGCTTTCTACAATCACTTCTATTCAATACCCATTGTTTCGTGTTCTGTCTTGTGTTGATGAAATTAATACCCTATTAATACCACCTGTTGTTCTGTCTTGTGTTGATGAAATTAATACCCTATTAATGCCACCTCACCCCATCCACCTCTCTCAAATGTAGATATAAAAACGGAGATGCGTAAGTTCTATTCAGTTGTGTATTTGTAAACTAAAGTCTTTGAAAATGTAATAAGTTTTACGAAACGCGCTCGTGTCGCGTCATTCTAGAAATAAGAATGAATTTTGGAGAATTGATTTTTGATTTACCTCCAACAGTGAAAAGAAATGTACGAAAGATTGAGAAAATTCGTGTTAGAATTATTAATCTTACTTTTTCGGTCATATTTAATAATATATGTCTACAGGAAAGACTGCTACCAAAATATACTAGTATATATATATATATATATATATATATATATATATATATATATATATATATATATATATATATATATATATATATATATATATATATATATATATATATATATATTGTTCAACATTTCTCTTGTTATTTCTCTTGTTTCTTCTAACAAGAGAAATGTTGAACAAGAATACTTGCATATATATATATATATATATATATATATATATATATATATATATATATATATATATGAATTCGAAATGACCCGGCCAGGATTCGAACTCATGCCGTCCAGGATCCCCAATAAACGTTCACAACACCGTGATCACCGCACTGATGATCGTCTTTGTATACCACATACGTCAGACCAATCCTGGAGTATGCAGCTCCAGCATGGAGTCCATATCTAGTCAAGCATAAGACTAAACTGGAGAAGGTTCAAATGTTTGCCAAGAGACTAGTACCCCGAGCTGAGAGATATGAGCTATGAGGAGAGACTACGGGAATTAGTCCTCACGTCGCTGGAAGACGGGGCCACTTTATCGAACAGTGATACAATTTACTGTCATAACTGTATTTGTTATGTCCGTAGCTAAAAATCCTCAGGGAGTCTGATTTCTTTTTCATCACTCGTCTTCTGTCTGGTCTGTTGTTGTGTTCACTGTAATAAGAGTGATGGTGAGGGTGTTCATCTCCCTCTATGGGATGTGCTCACGGTAGATGACACAATATTGTAAGTTTGTCTCCCTGTAAGGGAGTATGTTTAGAACAGATGCCCGCAGTGATATATACTAATGGTGTTTTCTTTACCTTCCGCCAGACAAGAGATGAGTGGGTTCGGTGTCAAGGTGTGCATCGTAGAGCCTGGCAACTTCGCTGCTGGTAATGTATTGTGTGTTGAGTCTATCCGTACATGTGTTGTACTGAAAGTGTACTCTCCCGATTTGAATTTTTTTAAGGGGATAATAGAAGTGCATATCACTCCATGTGTAAGGGAGGCATGGATGACTTCTCGTCCGTTCTTACTGAGTACATGTATCTGAATTTTGTAATATACCTAATAGGGGAAAATTTTCATCCATTATCAACTCCACTAGGAGTTCTCCTCTTAGTGGGAGAATGATTGCTAGAAGGCACACTATATCTAACGGATAATTTTAAGTAGGTAATTTGTAGCAACATTTCAAAAACATTAACAGATACATTGTAAGAAGATATTAACAGAATTATTACGTACATTGTAGTAAAATTAGAAGATTATCAACAGGTACCTTGTAGCATAATTTGAGGATTATTAATAGGAACATTGTAGTAAAATTTTCATTCGACATAATAACCATGTTATAGGTTGATAGCAGTGATTACAATGATGAAGTTGTATGGATTATGCATATATATATATATACATATATATATATATATATATATATATATATATATATATATATATATATATATATATATATATATATATATATATATATATATATATATACCACCAGAGGTGGTACCCCTTCTAGGTATATATATATATATATATATATATATATATATATATATATATATATATGTCGTACCTAGTAGCCAGAATGCACTTCTCGGCCTACTATGCAAGGCCCGATTTGCCTAATAAGCCAAGTTTTCCTGAATTAATATATTTTCTCAATTTTTTTTCTTATGAAATGATAAAGCTACCCATTTCATTATAAATGATGTAAATTTATTTTTATTTGAGTTAAAATTAACTTAGATATATGACCGAACCTAACCAACCCTACCTAACCCAACCTAACCTATCTTTATTGGTTAGGTTTGGTTAGGTAGCCGAAAAAGTTAGGTTAGGTTAGGTTAGGTAGGTTAGGTAGGCCAAAAACAATTAATTCATGAAAACTTGGCCTATTAGGCAAATTGGGCCTTGCAAAGTAGGCTGAGAAGTGCGTTCTGGCTACTAGGTACGACATATATATATATATATATATATATATATATATATATATATATATATATATATATATATATATATATATTGGTGGAGTGGTTAGCACAAGATACAAAGGGAGTTTGAAGCAACAGCTAGGAAACTATGTGGATGAAATTAGGTACTTTTTGGTTTTACCTTTGAATTAGGCATAGGTTGGACAACTCCTTAAATCGTTATATAGTGAGTTCCATAGACTAGGTTTCTTTATTTGCATAGAGTTTACACAAATTTCGTTGGACTCTGGGGATATCAATATTTAATGGTATCTAAATATAGATATATTTATTTCTGATGTTGTGATTATGGGTTTCATTACATCTCTCAAGGAAGAATTTCAAATAAGGATTTACATTTAGGAACAAAGTTTTGTACATGTAAATGGCAGAAGAGAATATGTGGAGTGAGTTTATGTTTAGCATGTTTTGGGATTTAAACAGAGGGGCTGTGTGAGGGTTGATAACAGAGTTCGTTATTGTTCTAATAGCATATTTTTACTGGGTGATGATGAGCTTGAAAGTTGCAGTGGTTGAACTCCGTGCACAGATACCGTATGTTAGGCAGAGATAGATTAGCGCGTAGTATAATGAGAGATCAGAGTTTGGAACATAATACCTGATTATAGAAAGTATTCAGATCGGTTTTGAGACTTTTTGGTTATATGTTGTATGTGGGTGCTGAAGTTGAGTCTCTTGGCAATGTTTAGGCCAAGGAACTTTCCATTATTTATATAGCAGATGTTACCACTGTCTATCTGAAACTGAGTTTCATATGATGATTTGCTTCCAAATAAGATATGGTAGGTCTTTTGTATGTTTAGTGTGAGTTTGTTGGTTAACATCCGTGAGTGATCTTTTTCTAATTCGTTATTTAAAACATTAGAGTGTGTGGGTTGGAGTCTGAGTAGATGAAGGTAGTATCGTCAGCAAATATTATAGGTTCAAGAATAATAAAGACATTAGGCAGATCATTGATGTATATAAGAAATAAGAGAGGTCCTTGGATGCTGTCCTGTGGCACTCCTACGGTTAATGGTAGAGTGGGGGGAGGTTATATTATTGATGGCTACATATTGGTGTCTGTGACTAAGATAGGATCGAATAAGGTTCAGGGCAAGGCCTCGGATTCCATAATGGGGAAGTTTATGTAAGAGCTAGTAATGGTTTAATGTCTCAAAGGCCTTTCTTAGGTAAATAAAGAACCAAATTAGGAACTCATTTATGTCAAGGTCTATGTAGATTATATCAAGTATACTAATAATTGCATCGTTGGAAGTCTTTTGGAAACGGAAGCCAAATTGACTAGGATTTAATATGTTGAATTTAACGAGATAGGAGTAGAGCTGTTTGTAAATAATTTGTTCAAATATTTTTGATAATATATGTAGATTAGATATCGCTGTGTAAGTTTTTGTCTGCCGCATCGTGTCCTATTTGAACTGGCGTTACTCGTGTGTTTTATAAAGATGTCAGGGAAAGTTTGACACTAGACATTTGTTGAATAGCAGAGCTATAGGTGGTACAAGGGCTAGGGAAGCACTCTTGTATACCATTGATGGTATTTCACTAATGTTCCCAGCTTTGGTTTTTAATGAGTGAATGGTGGACATAGCATCTGTCGGGCTGACTGGTAAAAGGAGAAGAGAGTTTGGATAGCTACCTTTAAGATATGTAGTAACATGTGTCTGGGTCTGTGGGATTTTTCTGGCACGGTTTATACCAACTGATGAAAAGAAGGTATTAAATTCAGTTGCCATTTCTAAATCTGTTGGAGTTGTGTAACCATCTTTAGAGAGTTTTATCTGCTTCTTATGTTTTTGCTGTTTAGATCCTAGGATGTTAGAGATAACTATCCATGTGCTTTTCATGTTTCCTATTGTTTCTTTGAATTTACTCACATAATATGACAGTTTCGCTCTTCTTATTATACGGGTATGCATTGATGAGTATCTATTAACTATTTCACTTATAACTAAGCCACGCCAAAGTTTTTTTCTTGTTGATTGCTTTGAGTATGCCACTTGTGAGCCAGGGGTTGGTTAATCTTTTGGCAGTTACTTGCTTGGTGAGGTGAGAACAGTGTGCATTGTAGAGGCTTAGCGCTTTGAAAAGGAAGATCTTGGCTAATGAATTTATATCCTGTGTATTATTGAATTCAGATTATCAGTTTATAATTTTAAAGTGCATTTGTGAGATTGTCTTTTTCTGCTTCACTGTATATCCTGAAGATACTTTTCTTGGTATTTGAAAATGTTATGTACATATTTGCTATGAAGAAGGAAGGATAGTGGTCAGAAGTTCTGTCAGTGATTATACCAGATGCAAGGGGGAGCTGTTGTGTTATCCAATAAGTGATCCAAGATAGTAGTGGATGTTTGAGGGATTCAGGTGGACTTGGTGATTGTGGGTGTTAGTATATAGGAGTTCATGCTGTTTTGGGAATATTCGACTGGAGAGCTATTTTGTTGAGACAGGTCAATATTGAGGTCAACTCATAGAATGATTTGATTTTAGTTGAGTTGATGTTTATGATAAGATTCCTCAGGTTATTTGAAAATGCATTTGTATTAGTATTGGGAAATCTGAAGATAACTCCAACAGTCACGTAGGATTTAAGGGATTTATTCGAGAATTGAGTAAAGTTATATTCACAGTAGTTGTGTACATCACTGATGACACTAGTGCATATGAAAGTATTTTGGAGATAAATAGCTGTGCCACCTTGTTTATTATTTGGCCTACCGTTTTGAATAGCTTTATAGCCGGCTAAGTTGTAAAGTTGGGTATGGTCTCTATTTAGCATTGTTTCTATTAAAATAATGAACGATAGTTAGTTCCTACCCTGGAAACACAAACCGAAACTGTCTCTACTTTCCGCTTGTTACAACTTGTAATAAAGTTGTTACATCTTGGCTTAATGTGTTTATGACGTATTAGAACACTGTTACAACTTGCTATATTGGTTTTTATAACTGGTTAGGAAGTGTTAAAACTTGTTCGAACGTTGTACCAACGTCGTAGTTTCGGTGTGTGTTTGGCGGGTAGTGCTTTGAGTAGTGCATTTACTTCATAAAAATGTTTATCAAGTGGTCTGACCTTTTGCTTGAAAACTGAAAGGCTTTATCAATAAAACAAACATACACTTAAAAATATGTTTGTACTATAACGTGTAGCTGACGTTCAGAGCTAACTTACTTGTTAGATACACTTTGGGAGTCTTAATCTCGTCTTTTGTCGCCAGTCATGAAGCGAATTGACCCATACTAGGTATGGGCCTTTTTATGACCATCCAAACTCACTCACACACATGCCTACTCTACACTTGGAACAATCAAGCGATGCCATGTCTGTTATGTTACCTGGTATATTGCTCCACTAACAAACAACCCCATTTCCAAAAAAAGTAATATTTATCCAGGTCTTTCCTAAATCAATTTCTATACAATAATTCAGCAATTCACGAAAAATACCCAAAATTGAATTACATGTGGTTGGGTTGGAGTTGGGCTCATGACCATGTTTATTCATTTTCCTAATATTTAGCCAAATTATCTAATAACCTCTGGTGGGTTATTAAGGCCTCCAGAACATACTGAGAAACCATCAAATATAATTCAGGTTTGTAAGTTAGCCCGGAACAGTCTAAACTCTCTGTGTATATATAGCGAGCAGGGAAACTCCTCTAGGTGTACATATCCCTTGTCTCGGTGTACATATCCCCTTGTCTCGGTGTACATATTCCCTTGTCTCGGTGTACATATCCCCTTGTCTCGGTGTACATATCTCCTTGTCTCGGTGTACATATTCCCTTGTCTCGGTGTACATATTCCCTTGTCTCGGTGTACATATTTCCTTGTCTCGGTGTACATATCCCCTTGTCTCGGTGTACATATTTCCTTGTCTCGGTGTACATATTTCCTTGTCTCGGTGTACATATCTCCTTGTCTCGGTGTACATATCCCCTTGTCTCGGTGTACATATCCCCTTGTCTCGGTGTACATATTTCCTTGTCTCGGTGTACATATTTCCTTGTCTCGGTGTACATATCCCCTTGTCAGACAACAGACAGTACTTGAGTGTTCTCGGTGTAGAGTGTAACAGACAGTACTCGAGTGTTCTCGGTGTAGAGTGTAACAGACAGTACTTGAGTGTTCTCGGTGTAGAGTGTAACAGACAGTACTCGAGTGTTCTCGGTGTAGAGTGTAACAGACAGTACTTGAGTGTTCACGGTGTAGAGTGTAACAGACAGTACCTGAGTGTTCACGGTGTAGAGTGTAACAGACAGTACTCGAGTGTTCTCGGTGTAGAGTGTAACAGACAGTACTTGAGTGTTCACGGTGTAGAGTGTAACAGACAGTACTTGAGTGTTCACGGTGTAGAGTGTAACAGACAGTACTCGAGTGTTCTCGGTGTAGAGTGTAACAGACAGTACTTGAGTGTTCACGGTGTTCTTGGTGTAGAGTGTAACAGACAGTACTTGAGTGTTCTCGGTGTAGAGTGTAACAGACAGTACTCGAGTGTTCTCGGTGTAGAGTGTAACAGACAGTACTTGAGTGTTCACGGTGTAGAGTGTAACAGACAGTACTCGAGTGTTCACGGTGTAGAGTGTAACAGACAGTACTCGAGTGTTCACGGTGTAGAGTGTAACAGACAGTACTTGACAGGTACGTTGCTGTTTGGACCGGACCTGGCAGGACCGGAGAGAGTGAAGGCCTTGCTGGCAACTGTCAGTGATGACGTCAAAAAGGATTATGGCGAAGATTACCACAAACGTCTCGAAGGTTTCGTAAAAAATATCTACAAGGGTACAGTGAGTAGACACATCATGAAAGTTATGCTTATATATGGTCCCAGTGATGCTGGAGTAAGCCATTCACCCCGCACATCGCGAGTACTTGGGACTGGGGTTCGTGTCATGGGCGGGAAGGGTTGACTAGGTGCCAATCCTTAACTGTACACCTCTGTTCATCCAGCAGACAATTGGTACCCGGTTGCTTAAAGATTTGGCAGGTCGCATTTCAAGAAAATTTAAGATAGAAGACCTACCCAGAATGCTAGGCGTTCTAGTTGCTTTAAAAGAATGCAACAACTCATATATATATATATATATATATATATATATATATATATATATATATATATATATATATATATATATATATATATATATATATATATACCTCACACCCCAGAAGTGACTCGAACCCATACTGCCAGGAGCACTTTGCTGGTGTACCGGATCCCTTAACCGCTCGACCAACATGAGTTTTCAGTTGCATATAGTCCTAGGAACCATTCAGGCTTGTTCGCATTTGTGTTCCTCACGTGTGCCCCAAAGAATGAGGTGATTTGATAAAATACCATGCCCAAGATTATCAACCAAGTGCCGGCGGGGGGATGGAAATAGCCTCGGCTACCATCCTCTTTTGTCCGGTCGTGTTGGTCGAGCGGTTAAGGGATCCTGTACGCCAGCAGAGTGCTCCTGGCAGTATGGGTTCAAGTCACTTCTGGGGTGTGAGTTTTCAGTTGCATAACTGGCCACACGTTGCAGTGGCTCACCAATGCATATGCATTGGTGAATCACAGCAACCTCCCCTGTCTCCCAGTCCTCCCTGCCATTCCCACCCTTCCTCGACCCTCTTCCTCCCAACCATTCCTGCCCCATCCCACTCGTCCTCCCCAACATTCCCTCTCTTCCCTGTCCCCTCGTCCTCCCTACCATTCCTCCCCTCCTCCATCCCCTCGTCCTCCCCACTATCCCCCCCTCCCTGTCGTCTTGTCTTGCCCACCATTCTCCATTCCTCTCTCCCTCGTTTCCACCATCCCCGACTCCCCCGTCCCTTCATTCTTGCCACCATTACCCCCTCACCTGTCCGCTCGTCCTCTCCACCATCCCCCACTCCCATCACCTCATCCTCCCCACCATTCTCCACTCTCTCGTCCAAAGCATTCCGAAATGGTCTGATGTTCCCATCAGAAAATTGGGTACATCAAATGGTCTGATGTTCCCATCACTGAAATATAAGAAAAAGTTAAAACGAAATGAAAAAATAATAATAAAAACTATACTCGCTAAATGAACGGTATGGTAAACAACAAAGCTCAATTCCAAGGCAATGGCCCACAAAATAATTCAATAAAAATTTAAATAAATCGAAATGTATATAAATAAAATTTTTCAGTGAAATCAGAAATATTGAAATGGAATTCATAACATATTTAGAATAGAGTGTGTGTTGCTATTATGTGCAACAGATGGAGCTGTTTAAAAAAAAACATGTTTTTACCTGTCGCAGGTGTGACAATTATATAGTAGGTATATAAAAACACGGGCATATTCGAATGGAACTTTGTGCCAGAATTTTAAAGCAATCGGTGAAGAACTTTGCGAAATTACAGCGTGTGTTGCTCTTACGTCCAACATATGGCACTGTTTAACAAAAAATAATGTTTTTCTTATAACAGGTGAGATATGTATATAGTAGGCATATAAAAACACGCGCCAATTCGAATGCAACGTCGTGTCAAAATTTCAAAGTAATCAGTAAAGAGGTTTCGAAGATTTCTCTCATTTGAAAAACACATGAAAAAAAACAATTAAAAAAAAAAATGTTTTTTTTTCCGTCACAGACGTGACATCAATATAGTATGTATATAAAAACCTGCTTTGATGCAAATGGAACATTGTGTGAAAATTTCAAAGCAATTAGTGAGAAACTTTCAGAGATTAGCGATTTTGAACAAACGAACATTTCCATTTTTATTTATATACAAGCTATACCCGCCACGCGTTGCTGTGGCTCAGTGTGGTTAAATGGAAAAAAAAGAAAGAAGAAAGTGCACGAGTCTAATATGATTAATTTCACAATGCTTGTGTGTATACAATATGTTTTGTTGTTCCATTGTCTGTGGAGACATAAAGATTGTCTGGTTTGCCGACTCTAGAACACGCCACATGCTTCAAGAGCTTCAAGCGATTTTTTGTGGGCCATTGTGCATTCACCCCAAACAATAAGTTTACATTTCTGCAATACTTTTCCCATGCCGGGTGCTTTGAAAATGTTTCACGTGGGAGTTTCATTGAATTGCATGTTCAATGGCAATTTCAAAGCCGAAGTAGCAGTTCTTCCACCTGGTAACAATGCCGCAGCTATTCCAGATGATGCAAGAGCTAAGGTTATGCCATTTTGGGATCAAAATGCTGCCAGAATCAATCTAATTAGGAAGGATTTACAGTTCCTTCTGGCACGTCCAAGAAGATTTCTCCAAACCTGTTATTGACAGTTAGAATTATTTGATTGTAAATGCCTTTTCACTTAAGCGTTAGCTTAGGAATATTTGATTGCACATACAACAACAGATCACTCATGTTGTAATTTTGTTCATGATGCAAATCTTCATCGAACAAAGCAGCAGCAGATCAATTCGGTCATGGCATTTCCAATTGATTGAGAACTTTGTTCGCGATTTCTAAGAACAAATCTTCAATCATTATTAATGCTTCGTTGTAGATTTCTACTGGGAAATCCATGTTCATATCTGAATTTTCCTTCATATTCGACGGATAATATCTTCAGCCATGTGCGACTTATATTTTTCCCATAACACTGTTGGAGATGAAGGAGAGCCGGCGGTCAATATGATTGCAAACAATGCACGAATTTTATTTGTATGTGACGTGTTGGACGCGTCATTAATGCATACATTTCAGTGTCGGTCGATCTCCAATAAATTCCGATCTTGACATGCACTACGGAAAGTGGCATGTTTTACGACGTTGACAAATCTCAATGGCTGGAAAGACGTTGGACCGAGCATATTTTACAACAGTATGCGAAGAAAAAAACATTCATCTCGTGTATAGCCGGAGTCTTGAAGTGGGTAGAATATAGTTGTGCATTAATTGGCTGTTGATTGCTGGTGTCGACTTCTTAATGTGTAGTACCTCGCAGATATCAAGCCGTCTGCTATCGCTGTACCTATCGATGATTTCCGTAATTAATGCACAATTAATGCACAGCAATTGCACAGCCAATTAATGCACAACTATATTCTACCCACTTCAAGACTGCGCACCAATATAGAAGCATCAAGAAATATGGGTCAATAGGCCCTTTGCAGTTACTTCCATTCTTCCCTTTAACTTACAAAATATTATACCCATTGTTTCGTGTTCTGTCTTGTGTTGAAAGTTTGTTTTCACCTCATCCAAAACTGTTGTAACATATCACCTCACCCAAATGCAGGTATAAAATCGAAGCTGTTTAAACTCTGTTCAGTTATAGTTGTGTGTGTGTAAACTAAAGTCTTTGAAAATGTAATAAGTTTTACAAAACGCGTTCAAGTGTCGCGTCAGACTAGAAATAAAAATGAATTTTTGGAGAATTGATTTTTCAGTTACCATCAACAGTGAAAAGAAATATAAGAAAGATTGAGAAAATTCGTATTAGAATTATTAATCTTACTTTTTCGGTCATATTTAATAATATATGTCTACAGGAAAGACTGCTATCAAAATATACTAATATATATATATATATATATATATATATATATATATATATATATATATATATATATATATATATATATATATATATATAATGTACCACAAAACACCATACTTCCCTTTTTGGCCAGAGCCCTTGACCCCTTAGTAGCAATTTACTACTCAACTGATTCTGAGTCAGTAAGATGGCATAAGTCAACGCTAAACAGCAAAACATTTTAGTCTTTATATTAGTTCAGAATCAAATATACGTATAGTGTAAATACTCCAAGAAGCCGATCACACATCTCGGTGTTCCAGTTATATACAATTCTTGACCCTGACCAATCATGTTTTGGCATACATTGCCTTACCAACGATAGCTGAGTAACATTAATATGAAGTAATGAGCAGTAGTTCAATAACGGTGTCAGGGCAACAATGTTATGTGGTGTTAAGCATTAACGACTGTAAATTTATTTTCACAGGCTAAGGATATCAGTCCTGTGATTAACGCGTTCACAGAGGCGCTGACGCAGACCTACCCGCAGGACCGCTACTGCCCCATGAGCGCCCAAACCTACATGGCAGTTTTCGTCAACACTCACTTCCCAGCCTGGGTCTACGACACTCTCTTCGGTGGTTAAATCGTTGTTGATTCTGCAAGAGCCATATTTGATCATGAAGAATCGCATTTGATCCTACAGAAAACATAAATGATCTAACAGAGGTGAAGATAATTCACTTTGTAGTTCAATACTCCTGTGCATATGAGGAGTCACAATAACGTGGCTGAAATAAGTTGACCAAACCACACACTGGAAAGTGAAGAGACGACGACGTTTCGGTCAGACCTAGACTGTTCTCAAGTCGATTGTGATCACAATCGACTTCAGAATGGTCCAGGACAGACCGAAACGTCGCCGTCTCTTCACTTTCTAGTGTGTGGATTTGGTCTTCAATATTCCTCTTACACTTCACAAATGCAGTTTGCCAAATCAAACACAAGATGGTTGAAAATCAATAAATCAGACGATTCAGCAGATTAATGAGAGATTGTGTTTTATTTGTACCTGCTTTATAAGTAAATTACATAGGTATATTGCTTACAACTGAACTTAGAACTTCAAAAAAATGAATGTGTCCTGAGTATCGGCCAGTTTTTAAGAATTTTATCACCGCTCTTCGGTAAAAATATCCTTTGGATGTAGACAGTCTCAGACCACGAGGGAAGAATTGAAACAGAATTTTTTCCTGATTTAAAGTTAATCAGTTTTGACGTTTGTTCTTTGTTTACAAAGGCACCGGTTGATGATATTCTTGATTATCTTGCACGTGAACTAATGTATCATGTTTTACCTCTTTCTGCTGATATTATTGTCAATCTTGTTAAGTTGTGCATTAAAGAATGTAAATTTACCTTTAATAATGAGTATTATTTACAGACTTTTGGAATGACAATGGGAAATCCTTTATCGCCATTGTTTTCAAGCTTTTACATGGAATTCTTCGAAAAGAAATTTGTTTCAAAAATTACCCCTGGAATCATTCCATAGTTTAGATATTTGGTGATATTTTATGTATATGCCTACAAATATAAACACTGACGAATTTGTAACCAAAATTAATGATCAAGTCACCTCATTAAAATTTACTATGGAGACTGAAATTGGTAAATGTTTGCCATTTCTAGATCCCACCAAACATTTTCGCGTGTTAAAAACGTCCTAAAAACGACATTTCATTGTTTTGGGCACGTTTTAAATTACTTCTAAAATACGTATTTTGAGAATTTGTAAAGACGACTTTAAAACGTGAGGTCAAAATGCGTTAATAAAACGTATTTTAAATGTCATGATATAACGTTTTGGGGCAAAGGTTTAATTTATTAGGTATAACTATCTTTATTGCATTTAGAAAGATAGAGACAGAGAGAAGAGAGAGAGCAGAAAGAGAGAGAAAAAGGAGAGAGGAGAGAGAAAGACAGAAGGAGAAGAGAGGGAGAAACAGAGAGAGAGAGAAGATGAAAGAAAGAAAGAAGCAGAAAAGGTGAGAAGAAGAGTGAGAGTGAAGAAGAGAAGGAAAGAGAAGAAGAAAAGAGAGATATAAGGAGAGAGAGAGAGAGAGAGAGAGAGAGAGAGAGAGAGAGAAAAGAGAGAGGGAGAGGAGAGAGAAAAGAAGAGAGAGAGAGAGAGAGAGAGAGAGAGAGAGAGGAGGAAAGCGAGGGTCGAATTATCGAGAGAGGAGAGAAGGGGAGAGAGAGAGAGAGAGAGAGAGAGAGAGAGAGAGAGAGAGAGAGAGAGAGAGAGAGAGAGAGAGAGAGAGAGAGAGAGAGAGAGAGAGAGAGAGAGAGAGAGAGAGAGAGAGAGAGAGAGAGAGAAGATAAAGAGAGACGAAAAGAGTGAGCAGAGAGAGAGAGAGAAGAAGGAGAGAGAGAGGGAGAAGATAGAGACAAAGGAGAGATAGAAAGAGAGGGAGAAGTGGAGAGGAAGGAGGGGGAGGAGGGAGTTCACCACGCCAGCATACAACCCACTCTCGCACAAGACAGCACATACATGACTTAATGCCTATAATATACCTATAATACCTATACCTATAATAGGTTAAGTAATAATTGTAATTACGAAGCAATAAGATGCTTATCTTAACATACTAAGAAGATTAGGCAAGGTCGGTGTTTTCTATGAAGCTTTTCAAGGTAAACTAGTATGTTTAGTATGTCACATATGCACGTATTTAATAAGTCAATATTGACTATACGAAAGTGCGAGAACGGGTTGCAGAATTCGGCGTATCCCGGGACTGGCTAGAGGAAGAGACGACCGACAGTAAGGTGCTACGGAAGAGTGTAACGCGGGAATCGAACCCGCGCCACAGAATTACGAGACCTGCGCGCGGGCCGTTTAAATCTTGGGTAGTACTCCAAAGCATCATATGATGCCATGCGCAATTTACTGCAAGTCGGTCAAAGCATCATATGATGCGATGCGCAATTTAAGGGTTAAACATTAGGTTTCAGCTTAGTAAATTTATAATGTGTAAATAATGGTGTGACGGTAAAGCGTTGGTGTTCGGCTGTTTCAAAAGCTGGGGGCAGGGCCTCGTCACATAACAAAAAAAAAAAAAGAGAAGTTTGTCCTTTTGTCTGTGGTAAGGTAATGGGAAGACACACAAAACACAAAGTATATAAACAATGAAATTTTAATTACTCTATAAAACAAGACATGAATAAAGACAATCTCGTAAAATTCAAAACAGGTCAACAAACAAAACAACATGAATAATTACTGGCAATGAAAAGTTACTCTAAGACAAGAATGCAAGTTAAAATAAATCAAATAAGTGAGGTGCTGGGAATACTGGCTTCAAGCTGCCACCTCCCTTAGTACACGACAGCCAAGGCTTAGTCTACTAGCGAGAGATGTCAACTCCAAGGAGCACAGAGATATTCTGAGGAGTCGGCGTGCTGCTGACCCAGACGTCGACTCTTGTGGTGGCGTGAGTGCAGGTGCGGCGAGACACCAGCCAATCAGCAACAGGCAGGCGGAGAATAAGTGGTTTGCTGGTTTACTGCGGGCTGTAGCAGGTGTGTCGGGTTGTGCATGGTACGATTTGCTTCCTGGGCAAAACGTTTGGCGATACTGGTGGACGTATCTTCAATATAGTATCTTGTACTTGAACGACGTAAATATGTAGGGAAGAGCAGGCTCAATCTCTCTTGAAAGAGATTATCGTCACAATGGGGTTAGGCTATAATATATCTGTGTGGTGGTCTATTGACGACCGTAAATAATAATAATAATAAATATATAGCCTAATACCTGACAATCCTGCTTAACAAGGAGTGTAATATAATCAGGGTTAGTGATTGGTTAGTTGAGTTATAATAGATTATATAGGACCAGTAATTTAATTTGATGTACTGGACCATAAAATATTTATGAGTTTACACTGGTTCCTAAGAACCTGTAGTTTAAATTTGTTACGCTGATTCATCCGGTTGCGAAGAACCAAAAGATTTGGTTCTGAGAACCGATATAATTTTTAATATTAATTCAGTTTTTTTTTGTTGGACCTCGGACAAGAGGTCCAACAAAGAACCTTTCGATCCTGGTTCGAAAGACTTAAAGATGTAAGGGAGGATTTAGTTCTACAATAAAATTATATTAAATGCTTCAAATGACGAAAAATGAATGTTAAAGATCAGAGAACCAGTTGCTTATGGATCTCCAATAATAAATGCATATATGTAATTAAATATATTTAGAGAAATGAACTGTAATATTAATGATAATTCAGAACTAACTCTGCACACTCTACAACTTTGGGGGAAATTAACATGAAGTTAATACACTTTGGATAATAAGAAGTTAATACACTTTGGATAATAAGAAGTTAATACACTTTGGATAATAAGAAGTTAATACACTTTGGATAATAAGAAGTTAATACACTTTGGATAATAAGAAGTTAATACACTTTGGATAATAAGAAGTTAATACACTTTGGATAATAAGAAGTTAATACACTTTGGATAATAAGAAGTTAATACACTTCTGATAATAAAATTCAAATAGTTAAATTCCAGTGAGAAGACAAGTCTATGAGCTAACTACAAGATATTACAGAAACAGAAACAGCTTTGCTGCCAGAAATGAACGTAGTTAACGTCCGGCAGCGTTAACCTGATTATTCCTGAGTCCCCAATGATACATGAACATGCAAGTAGAATCTTGTCCCCCTCGCAGTTAATTCCACACTGAAAGGCAAATCTTGTGTAATTTCAACTCCAAACTCTATATTCGTGCAGAAATTGGAGAGGAAGATCAGCACTTACCAGGGATTATATTATCTCCTGCTTCGTAACGACAGGACACCAACAATGTGGTATAAAATATGGCCAAATTAAATACAAATGCGGTACTCTGTATTGCCGAACATGATGTTCGGAAATTGTGGAGGCTGTACACTCGATCAGAAGCTCCCTGAAGTACGGATGCTGTCTATTTTGATTGATTACTATTGTGCTGCTCCAGAACATCCAAACACCAGATTTCAAACATGGCGAGTCTTTCTTTCCTCCTCCATCCTGTGACGCATGCGCATTCGCGCCTGTGCTGGAACTCCAGGTATAATTTTTAATATTTCAAACAGGGGTACCGAAAGGATGGAGACTTGGATGACGAATATTTACGTCATAATACAGGGTTTTATCAGACAGCAAATGATATTTCGGAGTGCAAGTCAATTAATTTAGATCACGTTAAACGCAGAAAAATACTAAGAGTGGAAATCAAGTTAATCATTTTATTTACCAGAAGAGCTGATCGAGACTGTATAAATTATTTCCAGTAAACGGCCATATACATTATTGAATGAAAGTAAATCTATTATTAATCGATTATCCTTAATAAAGAAAGGTAAATGAGATTGGATTCAATTCGATCTATTAATATGTAGAAATTATTCCTTCTAGCACTCAAGTAGGATGGCCTACATGAGACAAATGCAGAGTTTGCAGCCCTAACGGAAACTCACACCAAGGACTACCATGATGGTGAAATATAGATCTCAGAGTACAATCTTTTCAGATGTGACAGGAAACACAGGCTACAGGGTGAGGTCAGCCTCTACATCAAAGACACTCATCTGTACCGAGCTGCTAAACACCACAAATGATATGGTGGAAATCCTGATAATCAAAATAGAGATCTTAAATGTAGTTATTGTCCTTGTATATAAGTCACCGGAGGCAAACCCTCAGCAGTTTAAAGACCAACTAATGAAAATAGAACACTGCTTGGAAAACCTCACAAATCCAGCCCCGAACATCATTCTGCTTGGGGATTTCAACCTACGGCACCTGAAATGGAAGAACCTGGCTAGTACAGTTATATCAGAAAGAATACCAGGGAGCAGCCTAAATGAACAGACACATGCAAATGACCTGCTATGGATGTGCGACAGGTTTGCCTTAAACCAACAAATAGTAGAACCAACTAGGAAGGAGAACAGACGACCTCATTTTCATAAATAATGATGAAATGATCAAGA